CATCTTTAATTAATATACAATATATGTATTAAAGTATCAGCAATTATAGTTATTGTTTTAATTTATACATAAAATAATTATTTATTTATTTTTATAATGATGTAATGAAATAATCATAAGTAGTAAGTAGTAACATTTTATTGAATAAACATATCAACATCTTTTATTAATATATTGTATAATATGTGTATTAAAGTATCAGCAATTATAGTTATTGTTTTAATTTATACATGAAATAATACTAATAATTATTATTATTTTTTAATAATGAATTGATGATGAAATAATCATAAGTAACTACTGAGAAGTAACATATTATTAAATAATCAGATCAACATCTTTAATTAATATATGATATGTGTATTGAAGTATCAGCAATTATTGTTATTTGTTTTAATTTATATAAGAAATAATTATTTATTTATTTTTAAAAACAATGAAATCCATACCTGTAAGGCTGCGACACGGGTGGAATTGAATTGTCAATGGGTAATTGGATTAATACATCTTTGAATTTAGGAAATTTCCCTGTATATACTTGATTAACTTCCGCATTCAGTCCTATTTTCAGTACTCCTAATGATATTGCAGTAGTTTTACCCAAGAGATTTCTTGTGCCATTAATAACGACATAGAAAGTTGAGTTTTCGGATCTCAATCCTATTTGTATCCGAGCTTCAAATGATCCCTTTATCTTAAGTGGTGTAGAACTACCATAGGCCGTAAATGTTACATTAGGTCTTGGATGTTGATTATACAAATTAACTTTATTTTTTTTTAATGTTTCCCAAGTGACTTCCGTAATCAAATTATGCTTGCAGCCCGAGTCAATCAACATCTTAGTTTCTACTCCTCCAATGGTGCAGTCAATTTCAACATCATCATCAATGTGGAAAACGTACTCGGTTTCTTCTTCTTTTTGTACCATCTTGTTTGAGAAATCCCGTACTTGATTTATATCACCCTTCTCTTTATCGAATTGACCTTTCTTTCGTTCATGACTATATTCTTTCCCTATTTTTCTCTTCAAGGCTTGTCTAGTCCTGCAATATTGTCTAAAATGCCCCTTGTGACCACACTTTAGACATTCTTTATCTCTTGCTGGACATTTGGCATCATGTGCAGCATGTCTGGGATTACCACATCTACCACATCCATGCTGTATATTCTTTGGTTTATAAAAAAACCTTTTATCTTTACTATCCACTTTATTTACTTCCTCATTTTCATTAAATTTTTTAGGGTTTTTAAATTCTTCTAACTGTTTATTTACAACTTCTAATGTGTTTGCTTCTGTGATTACTCGGTCCAGTGTTATTTCATCTCCAATCTGAAGGATCTTTTTCCTCAGTTCGGACAGGTAACATTTTTCCGTTACTTGGTCGATAATGTTTTCGTCTCGATCAGCAAACTGACATTTATCAGCTTGTTTCCTAAGTCTTACTAGGAACCTTTCAAACTTTTCGTCAGGTTCTTGTTTGAGCAGCCTGAATGTATGTCGCTCGTAAACTTTGCTTTGTTTCGGTGCGAAGTAGGAATCTAGCTTAGATATTGCTACTTCAAATACGTCCACGCCACTACTCGGTTCGATGTTAGCTCCAGGAATGTTATAAAATACTTCCTGTAAATCTAAACCCCCGAAATGTAGAAGGGCGGCCCTTTTCTTTATGTCTTTATCAATGTTGGACGCTTCCAAGTATATAAGCAATGCTCGTTTCCATCGTTCCCATCGTACGCCCACCGAGGTTGATTCACCATCACAGTCGAACCTTTCCAATGTAAGAAGTGACATCTTTGGGCGACCTGGAATAATCAATTTAATGATTCAGATAAATATTATCTGCTATTGTGTTTTCATTTAACACATTTTCCAACTCATATCAATTTAATGATCGGATTACTTTTATCCGCTGTATTAACCAAATATTGGAAATATTGAGTTGTTTATATCAATCAACAAATGCATTAACTTAATGTTTCATATATTCGGACTATTAACTTATATTCACTCAAAGCTTGTCAACACTAGTACTGTCGCCATGATATCAATTTAATGATCAGATTTTTATCTGCTCCATGTTTATACCTGTTAAACTTATTAACTACTATTTTCATCCAATTAATATCAATTTAATGATCAGTTCAATTGTAACTGCTTCAGGTAAATAAATACTTATATGTCATTAATAACATGAAGTCTTGCATCAATTTAATGAAACAGATTAATTTTAATCTGCATAGGTAATAACTAGTTAGGTAGGTATTCAATTTTAATATACGTACATAAATGTTTTACAAATACTATGTGAAGGTTTATGTTAAAGGTAACAACCTTAAACCAAAACCATGATTAGGTATACACTTGAAATAAGTAAGCATTATTGTTATTATCTACATATATAGTATTGTAATACTAGTAAAATATAAGTCAAGTATTATTATTTCCTATTCAAGCACACAAAGCCGCGGACGACTCGGTGACGCCACGCGCACCGTCTGAGTACCTACTAGAAAAATGTTGGTAAAATATTCTACAATCGTTAGATAAGCTTAAATACAAATGTATTGATACAATTAACTAACTTTTAAAACTACTGGTCGATAATAATACAGGTAACTCGTGGATAATGTCCTTATTCTTAATGCTTACTTCATTTTATTCTGTACCTATCTTTCCTTTTTTTTTTAGTTATATTGTGTACTTACTTTTGTCCTCGTCGCCACATGTAATGTTCTACTTGTTGGAGTACTTTACGGCTCACCAGCACCACACCACACATACAATCGCGTTACTCAACCGCCCCGCTTATCTGCCGGGACGCGACTGACTCGTGACGCAGGCGCATGAGACAACCAACATTCTAGTCATACACTACAGTGGTAATAGCTTTGTGTAGCTTGCTGTTATTGGCTTTACTAAGAAAATATGAACGCAAGTTTTCTATTTGGGTATAATGTAAATTTTTAATGTCGATAAACCCGCGACCACCATGTTTTCTTTGTAGTGTGAATCTTTCAGTTGATGTGTGAATGTGATGAATGTTATGAATTATTGTTATTATTGTATTATTATTATTATGGTTTTTTTTATTATTATTATTACTACTATATAGTTCACACCCCTTCCCTCTTACAGTTTGTCAATTCCAACACCTTAAGGTTGCCTGGAAGAGATCGCTGTTTTAGCGATAAGGCCGCCTCTTGTACATAACTCTTTTTATATATTTCTTGTAATTTTTTTCTTTTTTCTCTTGTGGGTGTACAATAAAGAGTATTTATTATTATTATTATTACATTTCCAAATTACATTCAATTTGAACTTGTAGTTTATGAACTGTTGCAGATCAAAATTTGTTAATATCGTCACTCACTCACTCACTCACCGATCATCAATTTTGATCACAATTAGTGTTTACCCTATAACCCAAGGAAAAACTCAAACATCACGCAATTCCAATCCTGTTTTCGAGATATAAAACAAACTGCATAAGTAACTTTTTAATCCTATGCAAATAGATATGCGATATATGGGATTACAAAGTTACTTTTGCAGTTCATACATATAATTGTCGTCACTTAAACTACCCAAATGGATAGCTAGGTGAATAGTGGATATACTGTAAGTATTAGTGACGACTAAAATGTAATTATAAATATTGTAAATAGCTTTAAGGAAAAATATATTTAATATATACATTAATACATATATATCAGATCTCAAATATAAAAAAAAATATATGTTCAACTAATTGAACACTCGGAAATTTCGTATCGAGAGTCGCTCTGTGTCATATCATCGCGGGGCAATACCGTAGCTAGAGCCGCTTTCAGTGGCTACAAAACTCAAATACAAAAAAATATATGAATAACCGAAGACTCGGGTGTTTTCGTAGCGAGAGTCGCTGTGTCTTATCACCTTGGGGCAATACCGCAGCGAGAGCCGCTCTCAGTTGTGTATATAGGTTTTAAATATAAAAAAAATATATGCGCAAACACCAACACCAGCAACAGCAACAACAGTCATGTGTAGCCTCCCGGGAGTCCCTGACTTCCTGGAGCTACACAAACTGGTACCTACGTTCAAATCGTTCTACGATAGAATCGAGGCCATTTCATCAGCATTCACCTCACTAACTAATCAATGGCTAGTTTAGATAGGATCAAACCCAGATCTCTTACACTTACTGACCAAATCATAGAAGTAAGAGAATTCGTTGTACAATACAAACCAGCACGAATGCTTCCAAAAAATATTCGTTTCGTCATCGGGGATATTTTGTATAGGATAAATATAGTTATTAAATAAATTGTCTAAAGTCAAATTTAGCCATTTACTATGTATCTATACGTGGTCTATCTTTTGTATACCTATCTATATTAGGTTTTTTGCATAAAAAATCTTATATGAGGATATGCAATTCACAGCTTAGAATGCCTTACTCGGAGGTTCAGTCAAAACTATTATTATTCATACGCTAAAATTCTTTTAAATTAAATTTTTAAATATTTCCTTATAGTTTATTACATAAAATTATATTAAATAATTCATATACATAATAAATATTGTTGTGGTAGTACAGAGCCCTCGGAGCGTGAGTTCGACTTCTACTTGACTAATACAAATATATATTTGTCAATATTTAGTTTAGTCATGTTAAAAAGAGAATACACAAATAAATCATGTTTTATTTTATTAATTATTTATAAATATAATTGATGCTATAGCAATAAATGAATTAAGAACACTGAATATAAGTGCATAATTATATCAGATGAACAAGAAATCTGTTAAGAGTTTGCATCGTGGCGTAACAGATGGCGCTACGGTCCATCTGAATCGCGCTATCGTTTGGTTCTTTGTAAAACCATAAAGGTAAAATAATTTTTTTGATTAAATGTGAGGCTAAGGAATATCTAGTGTTTTACTTTCAAGTGGCTCCAGATACTACCATTGGATATCCCTAAGGCATTTTTGGGACATGGTCCTTCGAACTGGATTATATCAGGCAAGGAGTTGATCTAAGTCCAATCGTGATCAAGGGCGGCGGATTGTCGTTGAGGATCTCGAAGCACCTGGTGATTACGGCTGTTCCCAGGACATCGACAACGGCGGCGTCCACACGGATGGGCATCTCTACAGGGCGACCATCTACAGTAGCAACTTTGGCCGGATTACTGGGCAAGTGACATAGTGCAGTGATATTTATGGACATTAAACTGTAAGTACTTTTATATTATAAAAACTTAGGAATAAATACAAGTAACTTTGGGACTTAGAAAATTTAACATAAAGTGAACTTAGAAAATTTAAACTAAATTAACTTTGGAAAAAATAAAGTGTTAGTTAGAACTTAGAATAGTTTGCAAAAAGTGAATCATACGGGGAACCTATGCCCAATTTTACATAGAAATTATCAAGCTAAAAACACTTAGAAAAATTTCATCGAAATTAACTTGTATAATTTATCATCATAATGGAACTTATAAAAATTCAAGAAGATATTAGATTGCAGCTACAAAAGGCAAAAGTTAATTTCAAAAAGAGTCCTAAAGACAGGATTTCTAGATCTTATATTGAAACCAGGATTGAGATTATTAACAATAAGTGGAAAGAATTTTCTCAAAATCATTATGAGATTTTAAAAAGTAAAGACACGGTAGGATCTAGTTATTTTCTAAAAGACATACACAACGAAGTTGAGGAATTCTATTTAGACTTTAAATCGGAACTTAGTGACCTTTTAGATGGAATTAAAGGTAGTTCAGTAGCGACAAGCAAGTCTTGCACAGAGATAAAAGTCACGAAAACACCTGTAAGATTACCGAAAATAGCAATTCCTACATTCTCGGGTAGATACACAGAATGGTTAACGTTTAGAGATTTGTTTGTATCTTTGATTCATAATAATAGCGATATTGATAACGTCCAGAAATTACATTATCTTAAGGGACATTTAACGGGAGAAGCAGAGCAGTTGTTGCGACACATAGCTATAACTAATGATAATTATGAACAGTGTTGGAATATATTGGAGCAACGTTATAACAATAAACAATTTTTGGTTAATAATATTTTCACCCGGTTTTTCGCACAACGTAATCTCACGACAGAATCTGCTACGAGCCTTAAACAATTACTGGACAACACCACAGATATGATGCAAGGATTGCAAAATTTAGATATCGATACCACGTCTTGGGATGCAATAATTATTTATATTGTGTCACAAAAATTAGATGCAGAGACAAGAAAACAATGGGAAGCTAAAGTTAGCGAAATAACATTTAATTGTAATGTATTACCAGACTTTAAACAGTTTCAATATTTTTTGCAAAATAGATTTCATTCATTAGAATTCTTAGATACAAAGCCTATTTCTAATTATAAGCATAATCAAACTTCAAAATGTCATGTTAATAATAGTCAATATATATCACAAAATAATTGTTCTTATTGTCAAGGTAGCCATAGAATAAGTTCATGCAATAATTTTGTAAAATTAGATAATAACGCAAAACGTTTGTTTGTTCAAAATAATAAGTTATGTTTTAATTGTTTAGGAAACGGTCACAGTGTAAAACATTGTAGAAGTACAACTTCTTGTCACATTTGTAAAAGACGACATCACTCATTACTTCATTCCAGTAGTAGTAATATGGAGCCTATAGCATCACCTCAGGTATTAGAAGAACAACCGGAGAAGGGTAGTTTACATATTTCAAAGGGTAGAGAGCAAATTTCTTTGTTACCAACAGCAATTGTTTATGTTAAGTCTAAGAACGGAACCATCCCATTGCGTGCGTTAATTGACCAGGGTTCACACATTTCATTCATAACGCAAGCAGCGGTTCAGTTACTGGGAATCAAACGTCAAGCGGTCAAGGGTCATTTTGCAGGGTTGGGCGGTGAAATTAACGTGGTTTCAAAATCCAAAACAGATCTTGTTTTGCATTCATTGCACAATCCAGACTGCAGCGTCCAAGTAACAGCCTTTGTTTTAGACAAAATAACGGGATTTCTACCTCCTCAAAGAGTTTCGGTGGCATCATGGCCGATTTTAAAGGATATCAAGTTAGCCGATCCGAATTTCCACTCACCTAACAAAATCGATTTGTTGTTAGGGTCAGATGTTTATGGGAATATATTGATGGAAGGTATTCGCAAATGTTCATCAGGGTCGTTGTTAGCTCAAGCCACCATTTTTGGTTGGATTTTAACCGGGACAAATCGATTACAATCACATGCTGCAAATATAGTTAGCATGCATGTTCAATCGGATGATTTTTTGAAATCATTTTGGGAAATCGAAAACGAGCCAAAGTTAAATCAGAAGATAATGTCAGAAGAGGAGAAACGGTGTGAAGAAATCTATGCTGCAACTACTACCCGTGATGAAACTGGACGTTATATTGTCAAGTTACCGTTCCGGGATGATAATCCGACTTGTCAAGGTCAGACACGGGAAGCAGCTTTGAGAAGATTTCTGAAACTAGAACAACAATTAGCAAGGAATGAAAACTTAAAAAGGGAATTTAAACAAACCTTTGATGAGTATGTGGAACTTCAGCATATGCGACCAATTAATAGTGAAGACAGCAAGATTGGAGTGCACTTACCATACCACGCAGTCATAAGGAACGATAAGACGACTACGAAAGTGCGCGTTGTTTTTGACGCTTCCTGTAAAGGGAAAAACGGAGTAGCGCTAAATGACGACCTGCTGGTAGGACCAACCTTGCAATCGGAACTTCGTCACATCATATTGCGTTGGAGGATACACCGAATCTGCCTCTCCGCCGACATTACTAAGATGTATAGGCAGATTCGTATAAGGGACGAAGATGCGGATTACCAGCGTATTTTCTGGCGAGATGCACCTGAAAAAGATCTTAAGGAATATAAATTATTGAGGGTGACTTTTGGCACGTCATCAGCACCTTATCTGGCTGTTAAAACACTCATTCAGCTAGCTATTGATGAGGGAAGCAAATATCCACTAGTTGTAGATAAAGTTAAAACGGATTTTTACATGGATGATTTTATGTCAGGATGTGAAAATGTAACGGAAGCAATGCAAATATTTAATCAATTAAATGGATTATTAGAAAAAGGGGGATTTCAGCTACAAAAATGGAAAAGCAATGACGAAGCAGTAATGAAAATGATAGAAAAGAAAGGTAAAGGGGAAAGAGTAATAGAGGAAGGTAAGGGAATTGAGGAACAATAATTAGAAGGTAAAAATAAAATATTGGGACTTACCTGGAGCCGAAACCAAGATGAATTTGAGTACGCCGTTAACTTACCAGCCATGTCTGCACCTGTAACAAAAAGAAAGGTAATTTCCGATATATCGCGGTTATATGATCCACTAGGATGGATTGCTCCAAGCATAATAAGCGCAAAAATATTCATTCAGAAATTATGGATGTCGGGATTGGGATGGGATGATGAATTGCCGCAAGGTTTGCTTGAAGAATGGATTACGTATCGTAATAATTTAACACAACTTACCAACTTCCGCTTGCCTCGATGGATGAAGTGTGAAAGTAATAATCGTCTTGTAGAAATCCATGGATTTTGCGATGCATCCAATGTGGCATATGGTGCTGTAGTGTACTTACGCGTTGTTACCTGTGAGGATAGCATTGAAGTTAGTTTAATATCAGCTAAAACCAGAGTTGCCCCGATTAAACAAGTGTCCATCCCGAGACTAGAGTTGTGTGGAGCTGTACTTTTAGCAAAACTTCTCGTGGAAGTGGGCACAGTCCTAAATGTTCCTAAGGAGCACTGGCATGCATGGACTGATTCGGAGGTGGTATTAGCATGGTTGAGTAGTCACCCTAGCAAGTGGAAACCTTTCATTGGTAATAGAGTAGCAACAATTCTAACACTGTTAGAGCGAAACCAGTGGTCATATGTTAAATCAGAAACAAACCCAGCCGACGCTGCTTCTCGAGGGGTAAAACCATCAGATATTAGTACTCACCAGTTATGGGTAAATGGGCCAAATTGGTTAAAGCATCATGACATTCCATATGTAAATCCGAAGAGTTTAACCACACACCTAGAAGAAAGAATGAAGTTTGTTAACATTGCAGTAGAAGAACACGAAAATATCTCGAACAAATTTTCATCATTAAGTAGGTTGTCGCGAGTAGTAGCGTACTGTAAAAGATTCCTGAAAAAAGAAAGGAATAAAATACCAAAACATACTTACCTTCTGAAAGAGGAAATACAGGAAGCATTAGATTGTATAGTTAAGCAATGCCAAAATGAATATTTTAAGCAAGAAATACAAGACATTACTAGTGGTAAAAACATAAAAGCTAAATCAAAACTTACCTCTTTGAATCCTTATATAGATGATCTTGGAATGCTTCGTGTTGGTGGGCGGTTGCAATTGGCCCAGGTCGAAGAGGATAGAAAGCATCCCTTATTAATTCCTCATGATGCTCACTTAGCTAAACTTATAGTAGGAGATGCACATATAAAAACTTTGCACGGGGGCCCACAATTAATGTTGAATTACATACGTTCCCGATATTGGATAATAGGAGCTAAAAATTTAGTAAAATTTCACTATAGAAATTGTGTAAAGTGTACCCGTTATCGCACTCAAATTAAAAATCAATTAATGGGCCAGTTACCAGCGGAGAGAATTTCCGCATCTAGACCATTTTCATTTAGTGGCGTAGACTACGCGGGACCCATAAACATCAGAGTCTCAAAGGGACGTGGCAACAAATCCTACAAGGGCTACATTTGCCTTTTCGTATGCATGTCAACTAGAGCAATACATTTAGAAGCGGTCAGTGACTTAACAACTCAGGGGTTTCTGTCTGCGTATAAAAGATTTGTAGCAAGGCGCGGTCATTGTAGCAACCTGTATAGTGACAACGGCTGTAACTTTGTGGGAGCGGCACGAGAGTTAAAGGTTTTATTGCAGGATGAAAGGTCTAATTTGCGAGCGGAAATTTCAGATTGGTTAGCCACAAACGGAACTCAATGGCATTTCATTCCGCCTCATGCACCTAATTTTGGAGGCTTATGGGAGGCGGGGGTAAAGTCAACCAAATACCATTTGACAAGAGTAATCGGCAACTCCACGTTAACTTTTGAAGAGATCTCCACCATATTGTCTCAAATTGAAGCTTGTCTCAATTCGAGACCAATATCGTACATGGAAGAACAGGATGAGATTTTGCCTTTGACTCCAGGTCATTTTTTAGTGGGTGAACCTTTAGTTTTACCTCCCGAACGTAACTATGAACAGGCGACACTTAGTTCGCTAAGAAGATGGCAATTGTGTCAACGTATGTTACAACATTTTTGGAAGCGGTGGTCACAAGAATACTTGTCAGGGTTGATGCAGAGGCGTAAATGGAATCGTTTAATACCGGAACCAGTGATTGGTGATGTTGTCTTGGTTAGGGAGCCGGATTTACCACCCGCCAGGTGGTTAATGGGAAAAATTGTTAAAAAGCATCCTGGCGTGGACAATGTGACTAGGGTAGTAACATTACGCTATAAAAATTCGTATATAAAGAGACCTCTGTCAAAGATTGTTATATTACCTATAAGTAAGAATTAATGTAGTAGGTTAATATAGCTCCGCTACATATGTACCAAAGTATTAATTTTTGTTTCGTTGATTGTGTCAAATAATTTAAATTTGTTGCTATTGTTAATTTATAGTAAGGACTGTTGTCCTTAGTGGGCGGGTATGTTAAGAGTTTGCATCGTGGCGTAACAGATGGCGCTACGGTCCATCTGAATCGCGCTATCGTTTGGTTCTTTGTAAAACCATAAAGGTAAAATAATTTTTTTGATTAAATGTGACGCTAAGGAATATCTAGTGTTTTACTTTCAAGTGGCTCCAGATACTACCATTGGATATCCCTAAGGCATTTTTGGGACAAAATCTTTTACTATGCACTGCAAGCCACATCCAACTTATAGTATTTGTTTCTCAGGGTCCCGTTTGCCATCACTAATAATAAGTATTTAATTTGTTTAAGTAGGTATTTTTTAATTTAATGGTGTTGTCTTTATACTTTAAAATAATAGTTAACAATAAAATAGACTTAATTTAAATATTTTGACATAAATAAACATCATAGCCATGGATGACAAATAAAAATCATAGCTTTCCTTATTTGGTGTCGTTGATGTCAAATATAATTTCGTTCAAAATCATAAAATATTTTAATTATATAATGTTTCCTTTTACTATTAAAATTAAATATTATTATTTCCTTAATATTCTAATAAATTTTACCATAAATAAACGATTAATTTAATAGTAAATTAATTAGTTATACAATAGTTGCAATATAAAAGGAGGTTAGGTTAGTGTTTAACCTGTATCCCCCCCAACGTGCGTTCACCTTGTCGTGGTGGGGGGGCTCAGTAGTGTACTCACGAAGCCAAGAAACGCACAGGGAGGTGGCCCGCTTCGGTGGGCGGTGGGAGGCGGCCTTCTTCGGAGGGTGGTATACCATGCGGGTTGCTCCTGGTACTTCTCTGATAGCAGAGTGGACCGTGGAGCAACCCCATGGTTGTTGTGGTCTGCTTCGGCAGACCTGCCGTCGGGGCGTCGTAGTTGAATGCGTAAGCGATCCTGCGACGCCCCATTAAGACGGGGGAAGGTTTTGTTGGGTTTTAGTGGGTAGTACTGGCTTCGCCGGTGAGTCCCACACTTCGTGCGTAAATGCATTTCCCAACGTTGAAAAAAAAAAGTGTTTAACCTGTATGTATATTTGTATGTCCGATCCTATGTTCCCTCGTAATTACTAACCTAATCACGATTCGTTTATTTATTTATTAATGTTGATATTGCAACTATTGTATACATGTATTAGAAAACTATTATTCAAATATGAAAATATAATTTCAAGCGTTTTCAGTAGCTGTATACATTTTTATGCATATACAAATGGGTACATAAATACAACGTGAAGCGTGTATAGTGTATACCTACTAATATTCGATTACCTGTTATTTATAATGAATTTATTAAAATATATACCTAATTACGACAAAACTTGACAATTACTTAATTTTGAAACAAAGCTCGTATATTTTCTTTTACAAAGTATGATGTTGATATGAATTAGAAAACTTGTCAACATTTCATTGCTCGTAACTGTACCCACCTAATAGAACATGGAATATAGAGGTCATGAAATATCAATCTCTTCGAAAATTACTTTTAAAATGGCCAAGGGAATCAGTAAATGAAGTCAGTTGGCAACCTCAGTTTTCTATTAAACTGCATCAAAATTGACTGAACAAGTAATAATAATTAAGTATAACAACCTTCGGGATTTACCTACGATGCCGCAGATAGACACATAAATCTACACGTTTTATTAAACTTACGTAAGTTCAATATCAGTATCGGGGTAGGTATTTAGGGTCAACAATGAAATTAAAATATTCATTAAATTAACTATACATATTTATACTTAATGCATAAGATAGTAGAATTGAAGCCCAGGAATCCGCAATTTCCGAATACAATAGACTTAGATTTTTTATCATCCAGACTTGTCAAAATTTGTTATATCAAAGCCTCTGAAAAAAGCCCACAGAGACAGGGAGTGGGCTTTTAAAAAGTCCTTAGCTGACACAAGAAATAGTACAAGAAAAGAGAAAAAGAAGAAATATTTACAAAAAGAAATGAGATCCCATCAAAAACATAACTGTAAAAATATTGCAAGTCTCGCAACGCATTTCTTCTACCGCAAAAAGCTATGAGATATAATGTAAAACCAAGTCGGTTAATTTATTCATTACCTATCTATGGAAGCATCTATCCAATAACTTTGTCATAAATCGTTACCGAATTAGTTAAGTTACAACATTTTATAGTGACCGTATTAATATTAGATAAATTTATTTCTTTAATTAATAGAATGACTTGGCCATCGCACATGATAACAACTTACGCAAAATTTACCTAATATTAACGTGCATTATTTATGTTAGTGTATGCATAAATTTGACCCGCTAGTGCTATGTACCGTTCATCTCAGCCCAAACACGTCCACAGCTGGACATAGGCCTCCCCCAAAAATTTCCACGACAACCAGTCTTGTGCCATCCGCATCCTGTGGGCTCCAGCGACTTTGACCAAGTCGTCCGTCCACCTTGATCATAGTATGTTTAATTAGGACTATTTCAAGTAGTAGATTCTTATGTGATTATGTTTCCGTGCGATGGCCAAGCCATTCTATTAATTAAAGAAATAAATATATCTACTATTAATACGGTCACCATAAAATGTTGTAACTTAACTAATTCGGTAACGATTTATGACAAAGTTGTCGGATATAGATATATAATGAATAAATTAACCGACTTGGTTTTACATTATATCTCATAGCTTTTTGCGGTAGAAGAAATGCGTTGCGGGACTTGCAATATTTTTACAGTTATGTTTTTGATGGGATCTTATTGAAATAAACCTTATTATCGATACAGGGACCGAATCTATAGTTTTTAGAATTTTTGTCCATCTCTCTGTTACTGCATAACAGAAAAAGCACTGAAGGGATTTTGATGGAATTTGGTATGGTGATAGCTGGTAATCCGGGTCAACATATAGGATACTTTTTACCGCGGGAAAATATCTCATTTCTAAGATAAAATACAAAAACTGCAATGTAAGAATATACTACTATGTAAAACCTAAGAATTTGGTTTTTGGTCATCTGAACGCGGGCGGAGCCGCGGGCAATGCTAGTTATAAAATATATATAGTTATATCAGAATATAGTTATAGCACAAATGGTTCATAAAATTCATTTAGCAAAGAAACAACAAGTATTTTCTGTTACTCGGAGAAAAAATCATTAGAAGCTTCTAAATTTTTATTTAGCGACGCTCTCGTGCTAAGCTAATTTGAATCATAGGTAGGTCAACTTATATTATTAGTACATGTTACTCGCACCTTTGCACATGGTTAGTTTACTTCGTTTCTCCTTTTATAAATATATAAACTACAAAATCAAAACCTAGCGTGTTTCGTGACTGAGGAGCTTTTTTAACTGCCTTCCGAATTTAGACCAGATTCACGGCAAAATTACCAAGCCTAAAAAGGTTTGAGAAATTTGAACATTATCAGTCAACAAGTGCTTTTGAAATTACTCATTGGAACTAAAACATGAAATTCTTACTTTTACCATAGATACCCGAATATTCCTATAGACTTTTACTCGTTGCAAGGAGCTTTTGTTGTACCAGGATGAATTGTGCTCTTAATGTCGACTTGGCTATTCAAGCGTTAAGAAATACTAGAGATCGCCCCGTGGTTGAAATCAACCATAATTCATTAAGTTTGATCGATATTGTGGTGCTTTTTTCAAAGTTATATAGATAGTCTATAAATTCCAAAAGAATTTTGAAACAGGCCTATAGATTCAGAGATTTGCACGTACAGACAAACAAACTTTTCATTTTGTAAGTATAATAGTCGTATAATATCGATGAAGATTATCTAATATTATGCTACATCTTTTAGCAGTGAAGTAATTATATATAAATAAAATACGCGAGCGGATTCGCGGGCAAAAGAAAGTCAATAAATTTTGGCATCTGCAGGCTCTCTATATAAAATTTAACTATGCCAAGGTCATCCTCCTCCGTACATGCAATATGCTTGAAAAGGGGTTCAAAGTTTTTGCTTCACGTATTATTATATAGATTTTTGCCAACTTCTATTAAAATCTGTCAAATTCTTTTCGCATTATAACTGAATTGTTATACAACTTCAATGCCCTATGCTGCGTAAACGCTTTCTTTTTCTAGGCTATAAATATTTATATCGTTCCTAACTTTCGAATTTGCTTTCAAAACTTATTTAAATTTTATAATAACAAATAAATGCATTAAGTAACTTAAGCTACAGTTTCCTCAACCAAATTTAGTCGAATAAAGATTAGATAAAAAAGCATTACGCAACTAAAAAACGAAAATAACGTTATTCGTTTTCGCTACTTTTCCCGAACCTCTGGATCTGGAGCTGTACATGAAGCTAGCGACTAGACCAACGAGGCATTTAGTTTAAAATTATAATGATTTGGGAACCAATTACATTAAAAAATTGAATGTATATAAGTAATATTATTATCTAAAGCTGTAGTTTTTCGGTTATTAAATAAACACAATGATATTACATACCGTAATGTGGTATGTTCATTAGTAAGTAGCATTTGTCGCGAATCATATGTTATAAGCATTATGTCAGTTTTCAAATTTAAAGTAAGAAAAGGATGAGAGGGTCAAAATTATATGGAAAGTACGTAAAGAACCTGGGCTGCTGTGAATCTATGGTCAAATTCTTTTTAATGTATAAAAATCGTTATATATTAGCTTTTTTCGTTTAAGATGATTCCCTAGTGTTTTAATAGCAATTTTAAAGATTGTATTTAAATTATTCTAGGCGTTCTAACGTTTAATTCGTGATTAAACCACAGACAATAATGATGGTTTAGATATTCATTCTGTACCTTAAAACTATCTATTACTTATTACTATGGCAACTAGGTGTCACAGCGCTACATTTCAAAAGTTTATCTTGGTGTCTATGTAATAAAATAATTCTATAAGCCACTATAGAAAAAAAATATTAAAAAAATAAAATAATAAGTAATCATATTTTTTAACCACTAAAAAAGAAAAGTGATGACAATATGTTTTGTTGTATAAAATTATGAGATATTCTTTGATAAGTATAAGTATATTATTTATGTGTATTAAAACAAATATGTGTTACACCTATATGATGTCTGTACAGTAGTGTATTGGTTATAATTTTTCCTTAACTGTTATAATATGGTTACAGATTCAAGAGAAACTAAGGGAAGATATACAAACTCACTCTACTGGAAGAGTAGAAAGTAGCAGAAACAATAAAATTCGTCTAACACTATGAATTGGTTGTATCAAGTGTAAAATAAAAATGTTTATTCCAATGCGTATTTTATTACCATGTAAATAAAACATTAAATCAAAAACTAATGTCTATTGCATCACAATATTTGGATATTGTCGCTAGCTATAGCTCTATCTATTCACATAACTGATTATTTCTTTCTTCCTACAGGGCAAATGTCTGTTACATAAATTATTATTTAAAGGCATATAATGTACAGTTTCAGCATAACTCTTTGAGTTTAAATAGCTTCCAATTGTGCAATTTCTTGTTCTAGTATATATCTAACAGAACAGTGCTTATGGGTACGTCCTTTACACGTATTTTCACTTAGTATGATTCGTCAATAACATAAAAAGATCGCAGGCGAGCGATGAAAAGCTCGCAAACATTTAACATTCAGTGTCATTTAACAGTTCTAGGGACCTCACTCTACACTAACGCTCCTCGCGACAAATTCGGGCGGACCCTCATTGTAACGTGTGGGGTCACGTGGTGTTCTAACTGACACACGTAATATGCGCTTGAGTTCACAGGTACCAAGAGAAATTACACACTGTAATCTTGCAAGTTGCACGTAATATAATTATATATACGAGTACATACATATGTGTAATAGTTAAGGGACGGATAAGTCACAGAGTGATTATTTAAAATGGTTTACAACTTTTTCTTATTCATCTATGCCATGTAGGGTAGAGATAAGTAGAACTATCTTACATGGGAGACAAGTTGAAAAAATTTCCACCTGTAAGGGGTAAATAACAGTTCACAAATATTGTGTGACTTGAGTAGTTTTTGAAACTACTTATTTACATAGGCCAAAATAATTTAGTAAATATAACCGAAAAAACTGTGATGATCAAGACACGCGGTGGTTTGTCCAGCCAAGTTCAAGCCAAAGAAACTGGCAATGCAGCACCATGTGTATATTTACACGAACCATTTGGAGCCAGTTTTCACCTCGTAATAACTCAAAATCAATTTATTATAAACTCATGAAATTTGGTTCTTTTATTAAATCCCCTTAGATTAACTTGAATTCCCCAATTTCATAAATACAGCTCAAACGGTTATTCTGATATTAACGTCTAAAAATCGACATTTTTATCACTGACTGACATATTATAGTAGTAAAACCTAACCCACTTCCAGGTGACCTAAAAAGTTGAAATTTGGTATCCAGGTGGGTAATCGTATGCATACAAAGGGAAAAATCCAAAAACAGTAAATTTTTAAAATTTATAAAAAAAAATTTTTAACACCTTGCGCCTTCTAAAGCATAATAGCAATAGCTTAATACTTAGTGCCTTTTGAAATATAATAGCAATAATAGCAATAGCAATAACTTTTTCTTTCTCAGGAGGATTAAATAACATTTTCCTGTTTCGCCTTATCCACTAACGAATAGTCGCAAAATTATGAACAAAAAAGATTGAATTTACATGTGACTTTGGAATTATGAATAATAATAGCTTCTTTACAAAAAGTCATGATATCCCATCAAAACTTATTATTAAGAACATGCGTGGTTGTCAACTTCACCGAAAAAAGAATTGATATCTAAATGGGTGCCAAGTTCTGTAGATAATCCTGAATCTTTTTCGTAAGAACATACAACATTCAAAAATAAATTTAAAACACAATTTCTTGTTCTTTTCTGCTACAAAAGTGTTTGCTATTTAAAAATAGAATTTCTTAACTTTGAATACTCGAATTATTTACAATGAGTAGATAACTTAGGATAAATTGATGTTCAAGATTTGACGATGACGATTTGAAGTTCCCCCCCAACGTGCGTTTACCTTGTCGTGGTGGGGGGCTCAGTAGTGCCCGGCAACCCAACCGGGCGCGAAGCCAAGAAACGCACAGGGAGGTGGCCCACTTCGGTGGGCGGTGGGGGGCAGCCCTCTTCGGAGGGCAGTGTACCATGCGGGTTGCTCCTGGTACTTCTCTGATAGCAGAGTGGACTGTGGAGCAACCCCGTGGTTGTTGTGGTCTGCTTCGGCAGACCTGCCGTCGGGGCGTCGTAGTTGAATGCGTAAGCGATCCTGCGACGCCCCATTAAGACGGGGGAAGGTTTTGTTGGGTTTTAGTGGGTAGTACTGGCTTTGCCGGTGAGTCCCACACCTCGTGCGTAAATGCATTTCCCAACGTTAAAAAAAAAAAGGATAAATTGAAGTTCAAGATTTGATTTGGCTTGATTTGAATTCTTAATATTGAACTTGGCTCCCATATTCACATGTATGTTTTTTGTGAACTTTTGATAATACTTTTGGCGCTTTCTTCAAAATGTACCCACTTGCTACCGTGGTGCTACCCTTTTCGACGGGCACTTTTTCATCCAGAGAGGGGCCTCCATACTAGAAAGGTTACGTTACATTTACACGCTTGGTAAGTCTCGAGAAGCGTCCACAAGCACAAGCGTGTGAACGGGGTGTTTGGCTTGGCTTGCTTGAGCTTGTCACGATCCGGGCTAGTGACGTGCTGCCAACACTTAAAACTTTATCCCCGTAAAAGTAATTTCAAAAACCCCTAAAATAATATTTTTCAAATTGTCATTTAGGGGGTTTTTCCCCTAAATAAGTATTTGAAAAATATTGGTGTTCGTCTAATTTTTTCTAATTTTAAATGATTACAAATGGCGTAACAACTTGTTTTTGGTTATTATTATAATAATTACATATACCCATTTAAAAATCATTATAAATTCCATTGATAACTTAGAAAATAATAAAAAAGGGATATCATTTCTAAAGTCTTTAACCGAAACTTAAACCCCTACAAAAGACCCTAAATATTTTTTCCCCCTAAATTTTTAAGGGGGAAACCCCTAAGTTGGCTACACTGAGTGTCGGTCTTTGAACATAGATCAAAAGAGTAGAGTTTTTATAGTATCATGTCGAGTTTTTGTATTCAGTTGACTTTAATTCTATATTTAATTTTCATGTCCTTGCTATTTGTTTTTAATATATAATAAAATAAACAAGGGGCTGAGCTGTACTCTATTTTGTACTAACAATTAGTACTTCACTTTTCCTTTAGAAGCGAATGATTGTACTTAAACGTAAGTAGGGGCATTATTGAGAAGAAATAGGCTAAGAAATACCTAGACTATCAAATAAAGCTTTTTTTCATGTTTCAGGTATATCTGAAAAAACCGTCAGCACCATTACCAAAGAAGGCGAGTCATCTCAAAAAATTTCTACGCCAAGAAAGAAACGCGTGCAAGAAAAGAAAATTATACTAGATGATTTTGATCTGTGTGCAGTTCGAAATAAAATACATGAAATGTATACCGTCAGAAAGGAGGTACCGACTTTGGGAAAACTCTTAGCAGAGTTAAAAACTGACATAAATTTTCGTGGAGGTCGTACTACATTGTGGAAAATTATCCGACAAATTTGATTTCGATTTAAAAAATGTGGGTCAAAAAGGAAGTTACTTATGGAAAGGCCTGATATTGTAGCTGATACAGAATCTGACAGCAGTTCCGAAGATTCATCTGATAGTGATTATTCATCATTGGCAATCCACATGGATCATGCTTATTCAAAATAAAAAATATATTTATAATTCAAATGGCTGTTTATAATTTATATTTAATAATTAATATATCACGCTCATGTAATTTACGAATTTTTACTTTTGTATATCAAATAGAACAAAATTTAAACTTTCCTAACTTATTTTCGTACAACCGAACTGATTTCTTAAAAAGAAAAATTTAAATGCGTTAATCCATCCTGAAAACAAAAGATTTTATTATAAACATTACAATGTTATTGTGTAAGAAAAAATAGGCATAGATATTATTAATAATAGTTTAATAATAACTGCATATAAAAAATTTAACATTTCGTATAAAGGAGTCATATGAGCTAAATATGGCAACATAACGCTCACATTGGCCAACATAAGAGGTAGAGGTAAAATAACTGTGAACGCACTGTATAAGTATTTTTCGGGTAATAAGCATTTAAAATATTGTGTTTATTTTTTACGTGGTCGTTAAAAATAAAATAATTTATACTTAATTTTTAAATAACAAAAATAATTATTGCATGGAATAAAATTAAATAGCTTAGAAAGGAACATAACAATTAGACACATTGTCATTGACATCCCGCAAGAAAACGACGATATCACAATATAACAGATTCAAAAATTCCATTATATCTGAAATCGATTTGTACATTTGTAAATCGATTTATTTATTTTTATATTGTTTAAATACATTTTCATAAATTATAATATTTTTGGATTACAAAAAAAATTAGTGAGTATTTTTTTCTCACATACTACTTCACATTTGTGTTTTTGTTGTTGTATCCAATTATACAAGGTAATCTGGTATACACACTGGATACACAAGACAACCAAATTATACACTCTTTGTATCTAATTAATTTATACTATCTGGCAGGTAAATGGCATCCAAGAGTTTGTAAAGGCTTGGAGCTTGTACACGTTTGCCAAGCCTCGGCAAGTGTGTAAATGTAGCATTACATTTACATAGTACATACTCTATATTATAGTCTATATAGTTAGATTAAAGATTCATCATTTGTCAAATTTCTAGAAATTAAAAATATTTACTCTACAATCTACATTGTGTTGTTTTAATAAAATTATTTATTATTCTTGTATGATTAATTTGTGCATTTATATTTTTCATGTCGTATATTAACATTTAAAATGGAAGAACCCTTTCCAACTCTAGTATCTTGTAAGCCCTTAACATCTGAATACAGTCATTTACAAGAAATCAAATTATCTTCTTCAAATGTAAGTAATGTACCTATTATTTAGTTTGTATGTATTTAGCCCTTTTTAACGTCCAATAATGGGCACGGGCCTCCCTTCAATACGTGGGGGATCAGGCCATAGTCCACCACGCTAGCCAAGTGCGGGTTGGCTATTTATTAATATCTTATCAAATGTGAATGAATAACGTTAACAAAATTTTAATTATGAAAACATTTTAGTTTACGGTCGGTCGAGGTCTGGATAATTTATTGCAAATCCCATTACTATCGATATCAAGAGAGCATTGTAAGTTAAGAAAAGATGAAAATAATTGGATCATAGAGGACTACAGCATGTTTGGGATCATCATTAATAAAAAACGTGTGGGAAAAGGGAACATGGAAAAATTAAAACATGGCGATATTATAGCAATGGATACAACTCACACTTTTGTATATAAATTTTTGTGTGAAGATGAAGAAGTCATGCCTACTCCTAGCAAAAGAATGAAACTTGATCCAAATTCAAACAATACAGATTTTATTGAAGACATGAAGGAGAAATTTGAACAATCACAAAATAATGAAATTAAACACCTTGAGGAAAAAATTAACAACACCAACCAAATAAAAAATACAAATATATTATTAAAAGAACAAATGCAGGTTCACATGGTAAGAAAAATGAATTTACTTAATACTATGTTTGCAACAAAAATTGAAAATTTAACAGGAGAAAAAGATGAAAAAGAAAGACAAAGAGTATTACTTGTTAAAGAAAGAGATGCACAATTGGAAACATTGAAGCAGGATATGGAGGGAAAAATTAATGAGTTAAAGGTAAGATTACTTACTAAATGATATGTACATACATATACCTCTACCTTTATATATCTTACACAATTATTATCCTGAGTGAGATAAAACTATCAAATAACAAATTCCTATTGTGATTCTTGTAGTGTGAGGTAGCAATGTAAACCATTTATACAATAAAACACTGCCTAGTAGAATAACATTTTTTCTAACCCTTAACATATTTTTATTATCATGACATTTTACATATTTTAGTAATCTATAGATATCATAACATGAGTACATCTAATGAATTCTATAAACCTATATAAAACAAAGTCGAGCTTGTTACAACACTTATAACTCGAGAAATGCTGGACCGATTTCTATTATTTTTCTTTTGTTGTATATGTCTTCATCCCGAATAGCAGAAAAACTATTAAAAGATTGGACAAATTCACAAAAAAAATTAGAAAACAAAACTATTCCATACTAAGCTTCAAAACGTACATAGGGACGAACCTGAGCAGAGCAAGGGTGAGTTACTACTTCTTTATAAAATTGGTCAATTTATTTGCAAATTATAAGGCATTATTTTAGAAATATGTTAAATTCATGAAACTAAACCATATTTTATAGGAACAAATAAAAAAGCACAGTGAAATGGAAACAGACCTTTTTGAAGAAAATGAATCACTTAAAATGAAATTGGCAGAAGAAAGGGCAGAGTTTTTGTTGGAATTAAATAGAGAAAGTTCAGTGAAACAAGATGTGATTGATAAATTACAAGCTAAAATGAAAGAAAAAGAAAAAATGAGATTAAAAGAAAAATCAGAATTCATGGAAATATTAAAAAAGAAAACTTTAGAGCTGCGATTAGAAAAAGATAAGGTATTATATTAAACTTACTTTATCTTTATACTTACTTAAACATTCTAGAGTAATAAATTACACAATTTTCTAGTATTCACTATACTAATATCAAGAAATGTCAAAGATTAGAAACTTGTGTTTATTTTTTCCATGTCATCTCATTAACATTTTATAACAGTTTTATTTTACATGTTAGAAAATACAATGTATATATAATAAATCTAGCAATGTATTACAGTTTATATTTTTGTTTTACTAGGAATTACAGGAATTAAAGGAGCAAAGAGAATTAATGGAAAAAGATTTGACAACAGAGCTTAATAATATAAAGAAAAATCTCAAAGAGCAAGTTGAAATAGCTGAAAAACAGAAGCAAGAAGCCCAACTGCAGCTTAATGAACAAATAGAAGCACTAAAAAAGTTGGAAAATGAAGACAAAGCTAAAATGGATAAATTGGCAAGTACAAATAAATTGTATAAATTCTTTATATAGTATATTCTCAGAATGTGTTTTCGATTTTTTATAATGTTTACTATGTACTAATTAACCTTGCAATACACAAACAACATGTATTGTAATGCCGTGAAATTTGGATTAAAGATGTTTTTATTTCCAAAATAGAACAATGTTCACTTACATTAGGAAATTTAAATAGTACAATACTATAATCTACAATTTAAACACTGATGATTCTAAACAAAATCTAGATTTTTGCATAATATTATGTAATGTTTTAATTTTTTTTTAACATAATTTAAAAGTGTTTAACTCCTTTACATTATTTGGCAAAGAATTGTAAAGCCATCCTCTTTCAAATGTAATTATTCCATATTTGGTCATAGAGTCAGGCAGTTCAATTTTGGGGAATTATGAACTTAATTGTACAGAATTATAAATGTTATACTCCTATATGTTAATTTAAATTAATAAAGGTACCTAGATAAAAGTAGCCTATGTGTTAATCCAGGATATAAGCTATCTCTATTTCAAGCCATTACATGTGAGGTGAAGAAGTAATGATCATACACATAAAAATACATTGATAAAACAAATCAAGTCATACATATCTGAATAACGATTTTCTTTACATACATAATATTATTTGTAATAGAAAATTAATGACCGATCTCACCAACGTCACCTAATTTCAAGGGATCCCCTAAGCATGGTTAGGGGGCTGTTAGGGGACAGTTTCTGTTTCAAAGGGACAGTTAGGGGTCACCTAAATGTTAAAATGCCACCTAAATACCTGTACTAGAAATACTAGCTCTGGCGATGGTAAAATGAACTTTAATTTAGGGACTAGTTTAGGGGAACTTTTAAGCTAGGGATCCCATACATAGGTGGTAGCTTATGGGTTGTTGGTGAAATCGGGCAAGACTTATAATTAAAATTTAAGTGTCTGTATATGATTTTAAATTAAAAATATGGTTATATTATCACATCCAAAGCTACTTATATTAGATGATGATCTGTGTTGTTTTTTTATCTCTCTGCCTCTGTATCCACTAATATTATAATGATGTTCAATAAACTATTTTAATTATTTTTTTAGAAGCATGAAAGAGAAGAAATGGAGAAAAAATTGCGTGAGTCTCAAATGGATGCTGAAAAAAATATCAAAGAGCTAAAGGTCCTCTATCAAAGAATTTTATTTATCCTATTAGTATACTCTTTTGAACCGACTTCCAAAAAGGAGGACGTTCTCAATTTGTTGGAATCTTTTTTTATATGTGTATATGTGTTCACCGATTACTCAAAAACACCTGAACCGATTTGAATTTTTTTTTGTTTCGAAGGGTATACTTACCAGGTGGTCCCATTTAAATTTTATCGAAATAGGTCGACCGGTTTTTTAAAAATTGCTTAATCGAATATGTTATTAAAAAAACTTTCTTCTTACAAATTACGTGCCTTTAAGCATGTAATCGTCTATAACTCGCGTCTTGTAAAACGAACGCTGGAAGAAAGTGGAGGGGGTATGTTTGCGCATGGGTATACTCGCGCACAAAAGTACTAAGCCTATTATTTTATTTTTCATAGCATTTCGCTCGCGGTTTCATATATTAGTTATTGTTAGGGACATTGAAAAATTAATTTATTTTTATTTTATTTTAAATAGAATCATCATCCTTTGTCATTAAATAGAATTAAAAACATGTTTGTTTCAGTGTAAAATGTTTTTATCATCATATATAAAAACCATCGCCGCAACTCTTACCACCAATTCTTCTTTCGTTTTACATGACGCGAGTTATACATTGAAAAATATGTTAGATACAATATCATTAAATAGAATTCTATTTATTATTAAAATGTGTTTGATTCAGTGTAGAATGTTTAATCTACTTAAAAAATTTAAATTAATACGTTTAATACATTTTTTTAATTATTAACTGCATCATGTAACTATGTGTATCATGGAAAAATAAAAACTAAAAAAAACCTACATCCAAGCACTAAAGTGTAAAAAACAACTAAATGGGTTTTTAAAATTTAAAAAGAATAGATACCTAATCAGATATTTTCGAAGTCCCTTTTTTATGATTATTTCATATATTTTTAGGCAAGAGTGACAGAACGGGAAGTTGAACTGGCAGCGCTGGCAGCTGAAAGGATACAAAAACAAGCTGAACAGTCTAGTGAAGTGATACATTCCTTGCAGGAACAATTAGAGAAGGTATATTCTTTATTATTATATATTAATATATATTAGCCCAATATTATTTCACGCAAGTGACTCAAATTATTTAAGTATGTAACTTATGAAGAGTTATTAAATCACGAAATATATTAAGGTGTTATTATTACATACATAAGATATAATGTTATCATAACTACAGAGAAGCCAAGACTGCCTTATTACTACAAGTGAGAAAGGGGATAAAAACATACATCCAGAGACTAACTGCCAAAGCTCAACCATCATATTTTTAAACAATTTGCCTAAATTATACTAGATGATTTTGCCGCGACCTTTTTTTTGGGTAAATTGACTGATGTAGTAATATATTTTTTTTGTTGCACCTCTGTCTTTATCAACAATAGTATGATATCAATAATTAAATAATATTCGTTTAATGAACCTGCCTATAGACATTGTTATTGTTAACTTAATAATTTAACGGTTAGTATGGAATAGATAGATTATATATTATTTGATATATAACCTATAACCTTCCTCAATAAACGGGCTATCTAATGCAAAACGAATTTTTTAAATCGGATTAGTAGTTCCTGAGATTAATGCGTTCAAACAAATAAACGCTACCTCTTTATAATATTATATAGTATAGTTATTTATCTTACATTATTTTATTAGGTCCGCAAAGAGTTAAAGAGTGTTGAAAATGAAAAAAAGCTACTTCAAGAAGGTGCAGCTGTTTCAGAGTCTATGGGAGAGTGTTCCAAAAGTTTGGGAGCAATTGGTGATATAATGGAGAGTGAATTGCAATGCACTATTTGCGCAGAACTATTTATATGTGCAACAACCCTTAACTGTTCACATTCTTTTTGCAAATACTGCATCAATATGTGGAAGAAAAAAAAGAAGGACTGTCCTATATGTCGGTAAGTTGATCTTTTAATTTCCTAGTTCAAACTTTTAACAGAAAGACCAAGGTCAACGACATAGCCCGCAGAATATCCAAGATCAAGTGGCAGTGGGCGGGGCACATCGCTCGCAGAACGGACGATCGATCGGGACGAAGAATTCTCGAGTGGCGGCCACATAGCGGAGGGCGAAGCGCGGGGCTCCTACAAGGTGGACCGACTTGGTCATAGTCGCTGGAGCCCACTGACCAACCAACTGTCGTGCCAATCTTTGGAGGAGGCCCATGCCCACCAGTGGACGTGTTTGGGCTGGAATGACGTCGTGGTTGTTTTCTTTCTTTCATCATAACAATAGTGCGGGCAAAAATTTTCAACAAATTAAAAAAGAAATTACATAAATAACAGAATATCTCGTTGGTCTTAAAGGCATAGGAGTTATATGTTACAAATTGTTAGCAGTCCAGAGGTTTGAGTTTGAGGAGAAAGTTGTTACGTTATACACTTAGAGCTTCCAAGAGCAACTAAAGCAGTCTTTTTCTTCATTTAAATATTAGTAATACAAAATTTTATCTTTACTTTCAGGACGCCTATAACATCAGAATGCAAAAGTTTAGTGCTAGATTCATTCATAGAAAAAATGGTGGAAAGTTTAACCCCGGAAATGAAACAAAAGAGGCAGGACATGCTTGATGCACGAAAAGGTAAAAAAATCATTTTCCTTTATTCAGACAGAGTATTTTTGTTATTTATACATTTTTTGATTTAATAAAAATATTAATAACAAATTAATACATACATATAAAACCATCTATTGATATTAATTTGAATTAATTTTTATATGTTCTGGAAGAGACCCCATTCAGACTTTACACAAACTAAACCTCTCAACTTAGTTGCGTTCAAAGTTTCAATGTGCTTTGGAATTTTAATGGAATACTTTTTGGTATTTTACCTACAAATGTACAATAATAAAGTACATGCTCGAATTTTAGTTCGAATTGAATTTTAAAATTAAATTTTTTAACATAAATTCTAAGAATAAATAAATTATTTTAGATCTTCCGAAATTATTATTATTGTCGTAGATCAGTGTTCTAAATTGTATTTTGTGCTCTATGTGCGCTTTGTAGCCATTTTCTTTTTATATCATCACTATTTAAAAAAATGAGTGTGTTATCTTTCCGCGCGGTTGAAGTAAAACTTCTTTGGTTGTATACCTTTACCTTGTATTATTACCTTTGGTAGATACCGCAATTAAAATTAAAACAATTTTAATATATATAAATATATATATATATATATATATATATATATATATATATATATATATATATATTAATAATAAATTTGACTCACTTCCACGACACTCATTTTTCCAATGTATTACCCCTCAGTCACGCCTAAAGAAGTTTTACTTTAAAATATTCTAAATATGATAGAAGTACTACTATGTGTATTTATTTACATCAAAATATTTTTATACTGTCTGCGCATACCATGTATCATTTGTCTTTATAATTATTGTGATTTGAGTGTTCAAGACAGCTTCATAATTTTTTTATACATTTTGCTGTCACTTAAATGTTAAATTACAAAATGTATACAATGAATTTTCTGATATAATCTAATATTAAAACAAGTTATTAATCACTATATTTATCAAATAACAAAGATTTAAGTACTTTAGTTAATAGTTATATACTCCTTAGATCTCTACTTTATATGGATAAAATGTGGCGATTTTGCATCAATTATAACTTAAATACATTTTATACGTTTTTATAAAAGAAATACAACTTTTATTATTTTTGCTCTCTACATTTCATAAATATAAAATAAAAACTATAGTAAGTAAAATAGCAAACTTTATGAAGCTGTGTTGTTCACAGAAGTTGAGTCCAAAGCGGTGATACAAGGAAATGCGAGAACAAGTCGGTACGCATGTTTTTCATTTTGTATCTATATAATATATGCATGTATTATTATACTGAATTATAGTTTTTTAAAGAAATATTTTATGTTATTCTTTATTTTATTCTCTTTTTGTTATAATTTAAAATTTAAATTCGTTAGTTTTTTTTGTATTTCTATGTACTGTCAAAATTAGTTTAAACAATCGAAGCTAAATATAATACTTTTTATATACATGTATTAAATTTAATAATACAGAAATATAAGGAATATTTATAAGGTATTTTATATATTTCATAGACGATACGACTCATATGATGAAGAAGAAGAGTACAGCGACATCGAGTACATCGACGAGGAGGAGGTCGAGTGAGTAGAATATATAAATATTGTTGAATCGGACTAATACTATGAACGCAAAATTTTTCATGTACATGTTGATTGTTTTTGGGGTTCAATACCTAAAAAGGTAAAAAAAGGAACCCTTATAAAATCACTCTCTTGTCCATCTGTCTTTGTGTTACCACCGATTTTCTCAGGAATGGATAGACTTAGCAAGTTGTTTATACCAGATACTCCTATTAGGTGAATAAAAATCAAGGTTCTAGTCAACACAGTAAAAAAGATGTGGGCAAATTTAAATTATCGCGAAAACTTGTAAATGCCAAAATTTACCTTAATTTTCAACTTCTTTGTCTTTTCCGGAATTTTCACTTCACTTGTGCTGTAAGACCTTGCTTATAACCGAAATTGGCAATTCTAGCTCAACCGGAAGTACCCTATAGGTTTTGGGACGATAGTGTAGAAAACGATCTCTTAGTGAAACTTTCAAGAAATTATAAAACTTATAATAAGTACTTATTGAAATTAAGAAAATAATGATCAACTGTAATCAAAAAAATGTAGTATCAGACTGGTCGAAATGAATCGAATAAACCTAAAGCGAAACTTTAGGTTAATTTGAACGAAAAAACACGAATAGCCATAGACTATACAATATATACTATAAACTACTAGAGATATCCCATCTGTTATTAGAGAAAAATGGACAATATATATATATATATATATATATATATATATATATATATATATATATATATATATATATATATATTACTGCTTTATATATAATATTTGACTGCTTTTACAAACATCAATAAAAACATCGATATAGATATTACGCCGTTTTTGTTTCTTATAAGATCCCATGCTTAATGGCCATTGCTGCCCTCCCGAACCTAAAGTGCAGTAACAGCAAAAACACGAATTCGAGAAAAACGCGCCTAAAGTTTAGAATCCATAAAAATATATCAAAAAGAGACTTTTCGATAAAACCTTGAATGGAAAGTGAAAGAATATGTACCAAACTAAAATACTAAACATTGTTACGTTAGTTTTTTTATAAAAAACTATAATTATGGCAATTTTAATTTTTTTGCCCCTAACACACACTTTATTTGTATAATCTTTTCAAAAACTGTTTTAAATGCAGTAAATCCTGTTATTACTGCATTTTAGACATTTCTTCCATGATCGTTACTAACTAAAGTGCAGTAATATTATAAAAATACTGCTATTTAATCTGTTTTTTTTAACAAAACACTGATATTCCACACTTATAGTAATATAAAATTACCTTTAATTTTGATAAAAATATGTAATTTCTTAAACAAAACTGGACATGCATTTATGACTATGCTATTAAAACTATTCATCAAAACATTGTACATTATAATCTAATAGTGTAAATTGTTTTATATGACTAACGATATAACAATCTTTACAAGATGTTGATAATCTTAACTAGTTAATCCACCATAAAACTATATCACATGTATTTCTCATGCATGGATCAATAAAATTTACATAAAATCTTTCTTCGAACATAACTAATTACTAAATGAGTATTCTTGTCTTACAAAAATAATAGTCTGAAAAGATTATGGAAGGGAGTACTAAGGAGAATTAACTTATATGGGAAACAGGTTGAAAAAGTGTCCAGTAGTGAGAAGCAAATTATAGCTCAGAAACTCACCGTTAAGCCTAGTTCGCATTGAGCTAGTATTTTAGTCTAGTAGCGAGTAATTTAGTAACTAAACGTGTCTGAACACTAAAAATTTAGTCGATTAGTTTAGTAAGAAATTTAGCCGAGTCAATCCATTTTATTCTATTTTTTTGGGCGAGTAGCAGCCCCCACCACGCGTCCGAGCTCACTGGTTCACCGGCTAAACAAGTACGAACCTGTCGAATTAGTCGAGTTCATTAGTTGCCGCCATAACATTCATTAACAGAAAATTTACACAACTTTCGGCCATTCTCAAACTATCGAAGTATTCTTTGGGATCTTCCAATGCTAATTCCTTCAGAAGACAATTAGTAGCTCCTAGTTTATCTCGTCTTTCGATCCATTTTCTTACCCATAGCTTCTTTTTATTAATCACACAAATTTCCTCATCAACCTCTTCTAAAATAGCCGTTACGATCAGCTTAATCAGTTTATTTACTTCATTGCGTTGTAGGCTATTCATCTTGCAAAACACCACTCACTTGTAAACTGTACTCGACCAAAGTGCAAACGATTTTTGGTGAGTAGCGAGTAATTTAGCTACTAAATTACTCGCTACTAGACTAAAATACTAGCTTAATGCGAACTAGGCTTTACAGCACTAGCGTAGCAAGTAGATGTGATGTGAAGTTAGTAGTTTTTAACGGAGTGAAGTGTGCTGAATTATTATTACTTGAAAATAATATATAATTATATTGCTGTTTGCCTATGCTAGAACTATTTTGAAAAGTGCGCCACAGCAAAGCGGAAATCTTTCTTTCCTTGTTTAATTCACCTTCTTACTTTTATGACGCTATGTTTTAAACTAGCGACTCACCCTCGCCTCACTCGGGTTCGTCCCTGGATACTTTTTTTTTGAGCGGAACTCTAATTCTTTTTTTTAAATAAAAGTAGCCTATATTACTCCCTATAACATCAGTTACCTTCCACTGAAAGTCCGTCAAAATCAGTCCAGCCGTTTCAGAGATTATTCGGAACAAACAGACAGACAAAAAATTTTAAAAATGTGTTTTTCTTATGAGTACCGTTTATAATTTCATATGCATTTAGTAAAAAGGTTTATTTTGACATTACAAACAGACACTACAATTTTATTTATCTGTATAGATGTATAGATTCATATACTTATTTTCTGTGGCGCCACCAATTTCATGCTTGTTAGCGGTCACTTTTTATACTAGAAATAGTTCGCCTTAGTTCTACTCTCCATATCTCTTTGGTACAGCATGGCACGTCAAGTCAGCCTTAGGCCACAGATTAAGGAGACTGCCTCAAACCGCGATATTGCCTGTCCTGTGTTTTAATATTTTAATAATTTTACCTATTAAAACGCAGTATTAGGGAATAGTATTTGACTTTAAGTATTTTAGGTAGTATGAATTGGATGAAGCAAACTAACTAATATGCAGTAAAATTTATAAATATTGTAAACTAAATGGTCTTTTACAAGCAACTACAAAACATCCTACAAGTTAAACTGCAGTAAAATTATTAAATACTGCATGTCTTTTAGTTTTTCACAAGAAATTACAAAATCCCCCACAAGTTAATGTGCAGTATGGAATGTTAATACTGCACTTTAATTAGGAATATAAATAAAAAAAATTTTTTCTTAACCTTTGTAGTATAATCAATTTGTATAGAGTCGAATAATACTGCATTTTAATAAGTTTTTTCTTGAATCTCCTAGAACAAACTACTATTTTAAGTGCCACAAAATATGATAAAACACTGCAGTTTAGTTAGGAAACAGAGAAAAATCTTGTGCAGTATTAATTGTACTGCGGTTTAGCTGGTAAACATGAAATATTTTAACAGATTTGTGATATTTTTGCTGTTACACCTTCCGAAAAAACATTAAAATAAAATACTTTTATTAGCGCTACAGAAAAAAGAATTAATTTGACTGATAGCTACTAAAATGGGGATTTAGAATATATATTTAACTCAAAACCGACCAAAATGTCTATTACTGCACTTTAGGCTCAGGTGGGCAGATTGGAGAGTTCCCTTTCTAGTTAGAAAGTAATTATTGTTGTTAACAAAAAAAATGTATTATAACATTATTTTATTTTCAGGGACGACTGCGAGATCTACGATCTCGGGATCGATGATGATGTCCATTGGGAACTTACCGACGAATTTGATTCCGATAGTGGATCTGACGGCACTGGGTGGATCGGCGGAGGTGAGACCACAGCTACATCTGCGCCAGTCAAATATTAACAAAAATTGCTATTCATTTTTAGGATTCCGTACCTCAAAAGAAAGAAAGAAACCCTGATAGGTTATCAAAAAATCTCAAAATTTACCAGGAAGTCTCTTTTGAGGGGTAGTAAAAAATACCAAAATATCAAGAAAATAAAAAAAAAATTTGAAACCGTCCGATTAGACGTGGAATGCACCATATATTTTTTTGATTTAATTAAAAATGAGTTTTTGATTTAAATCCAGGACGCGTTGCGGGGCGCGAGGGCGCATACTACGGCGGCTACGGGCGCTGCTACCGCTGCGGCGCGCGCGGCCACTGGGCGCCGGGCTGCCCGCTCGCGTAGGCACACGCATCGGAATAGGACTTAGCTCTATATACATATATGTAAATTCTAAGAACTCATCCCCTCCCACTTCCCGACCTCAGATCGCCCGTAAATTATTTTTCCCTTCATTTTTGTTATATTCTCTTTTCCAATGGGTTTCATCCTACTATAATTATCATTAAATGTTATAAAATCTTTCTTAGAAATCCTACAAATTTTGATTTCCTGTCAAAAAAGTCATGGGTATTTCAAAAAAAAATAGTTGATTTTTTTAATCAGCCTAATTAATATACATGTAATACTTTCTACCTACTATTTTAAATAAAACTAACTTTACAGATTAATTCGCGGATTTATTTTGATTTTTGGTTCCCGATGTTTCGAATGTTTTTAAGCAATCATGGTCGCGGGAGACTCGGTCTGTAGTTTTATTTAAAATGTTTATGTACATACTTATATGATATCGAGCTGATAGCCTCCTTCCCATCAACATGGTTTAGTTAATTATTATTATGTTGTGTAAATAAAGAATAGTATTTTAAATGCGATGAAATTATACGTTTAAAACTAATGGTATATTTTAATAATTTTATAAACAAAATGAATCGTTCCCTTGTTGCCTAAAAAACGTGTCATCCCGACAATACAGGCTCAATGACTCGCCATCTCTTTTTTATCTACATGTACTACATGTACGTGATAGAAAACAGGTTGATAGCGCAAGAATATCGTGGGTTCGAAATAAAATCATAATGCAACAGTCATTTTTTAGCATTAACTTTTTTTTGTTTCTTCAGAGCATGTTATAAATATATATGTATTAGGTATATTAGAATTATAAAAACATTTATTTATATTTGTTTTCCCTTTCCTCATGAAACCCATCCTGAAATTAAGACTTGTGCTGTTATATAAATTTACAAGCCCAACAAAGCTTCTTTTAAATTCAAAGTCAAACCTACTGTATAATTTCAAATCTTATAAATTAGTGTTAGTTTATTTTATCATGATGTCGTTGGAAAATAAATGTTTCTCATAAATGTATCAGTAGAATATCCAAAGTAAGGTTATCCACTCCTCATCTACTTACCATTGTATTAATTATAATAAATATAATTATAATTTAAAAAACTCATTTTTTGTTTAATATTTCGTCTATATTTATAAATGAAGTGTGAGACATGCAGAAGTTAGGTTACTTGAGAAGTTCTTTACAAATCATGCTTGTCAGGCTTTAAATGTTAGATGTTTAATACAAAATATTTTTCATCCAGTAAGTGTATGTGGGGAAGATAAGCTTATTTTGGATTTAAAATTATATAACTAGGCTATAGGTTTAAGAATTGTATGTTATACTAAAAATAATATAAATTATTAATTATATAAAATAGGACTTATATGTATTATTGTAGATTCATTATTTTATTCTTTATGTTGTCATACTGATATAAAATACTTCTTTAAGTTACTTTGACTTTGTATAAAATAATAAAAGCTGTGTGCTGTTACACTGAATTTTACTTGGCCTACCTGACCTACTTCTGAGATAGACTCGTAATAATGTATTAAAACTATGCAGATTATCTATTTGTAAGATTATGGATCACATATACATACATAACTCTTCTGAGTGCGTGGTAATAACTCGGTAAGAAATTCTTGAAATTAAATGTATTATTTAAGGGATGAATTTTACAATATTTACCATACGTTAGTCTGCACATGTTTATAAAATAAAACAGTTTAACTATTTGCGAATCAACGACATCTATTATTTATTCAAGCAAACAAAAATAGCCCAAATTAGCACTGTCCAATTTCTTTGTATAGGATGAGTTATCTATCTATCTATCTAGTATAGTATTATGTGATATGTGCTGATATTTAGTATTCGCTAAGTGTCTTCTATCCAGAGAAAATACAATATGCGTCGAAAGTTTAAAAAATAAAATTGCGGCAGTAAGTAATGAAAATAAAGCCACAAACATCTGTCCTATATATAAAATATAATTTCAATGCTGCAATAATAAAAATAACAACCTCAATTTGGTACAACAATTTAATACACATAAACATGAATTTTTGAATAAGTTAAAAGATGTAAATTATCAATAGGTACAATAATCGTCGTTTCAGTTTTTTTTGTTCTTTTTTAAGTATAATAATAATATAAATTGAAAAAAGTTAACAAATAATGAATGTATTTCATATTTAAATATTTTTTAACTTTTTTTTCATAGTCAAAATTGTCCAGAAACACATGAACAAAAAATAAATATTCGAAGCCTTACCCACTCATTTCACTATCTTTACAATAATAAATAGACTGCCCCTAAATACTGTTTGCATATAAATTGTGGATAAAAAAATTATGAAACCTTTCCATAAACATATATTGAATAAGAATAAAATCAAATTTTATTAATAACTATTTATGTGAAGAAGCAAATTCTTTTTATATGTTAATACATTGATAATTATAATCAAAATCACTTTTATATTATTTGCTCTCTTTTTAATATTTAAAGTGTGTTACCTAATAGAAGAGAATATGTGAAATGAATAGGTAATATCTCAATACAAATATTGGTACTAAAATAATTACCTTAATATGTACAAAAATTTAGAATAACTATTTCACAAGGATCATAAAACTGTTGAACAATTAAACCACTGTTATCACTAAACACACATTTGAGCTCCGACTGTCTTAATAGGAGATCTCAATGATAAATTGTAAATTCTTATCATATATATATATATATATATATTTTCTACAGCATTCAAATATGTATTAATGCATAATTTTATACTATTAAAATATCCTCAATATGCAGATAAAATAATATTTTCCTACTACATAAACAACACCTGATGAGGAATTTGGACAAATTGCAATATCACTTACTTTCTGATAAATAGAATATTAAAAAGTTTTTATTTGACAAGTAATAATATTTGAGGAGCCCGGCGTTTGTTATTTAAATGTCTATGGCTAAAACTATTCAAATTCTTAACTTTATTTAATTATAATTTAATAATAAAAAAATATTTTAAATCATCATTAAAAGATGTCCTAAACTTGACACGTTAGCTAATTTTGAGAGAAAATATGCAAGTTACTAAAAATTGTAATTTTCATCATGCACATTGCATAAATAGCTTCGAAGGCTTCTTTTAGCTTTTTATACCAAGATTTCAACTGCGACGTTATGCAACTATTTACATAAATCTGTGAGTAAATGAAAAAATTGAAATTTTTAAATAAAAACATGTTTCTGTCTAAATTGATACTTGCGTTAATTTTGAAACCTTACATCAGACAAAATCACAAAATATCATTCCTACATGGGTTTAAAATAAGATATACAATCTATCTTACTAGATAATTCTAATACAACTTCAATTCATTGTAGAAAATGCAATAATTTGAACATTTTTAAAGAATAATAAAAACAATTTTACTAGCACTTTAACAATTGCATACAGTTAACATTTTAATCGGAAATATGTTACACATACATATTTTTAAATAATAATATGTTTAACATATTAATATTAACAAGAATTACAAAAAAATTCATAGTAGGTACTCTAAATTTGTGTGCACTGTATTTTGCATACTTGCAAGCAACATACAATATGTAACCATTATTTTCTTTTTATTTTTCCTACATAAAATTTCACTATAAATTAATCATTTTTCTTATCAGTGGTGTTAGAGTCCCCTTCAGTTATAGCAAGGTTTCCATTTCCTGATTGTTTTTGTTGCTCCATTTCTCCAGAAAATCCAAACTCATTGACTCTCTTATGATCAACCTTGTAAATCCAACGTTGATACAAGAATATGAAGAATACAATATCTGTAATAAAATAAAATATTATAAATATTTAAAGACTTAAATAGAGATCAACAGCAGTAGGAGAACATTAATAAAAAAAATCATACCATCCCTAAAGCATCCAATGCGATACATTGTTGGCATTTTGATTACGAATGCAAAGATGTCATCAATAAATGTATTAAGAAATTTGTAAGTCATCATACGCCATGGCAAATGGGCAACTGACTTCAATTTATAATTTATAAACAATTGAGGTGTCATCATTATAAATCCAAATGTCAAAAGATATCCATACATCATATTTAAAACAAAGGAATACCATCCTTTGTGTTCTTGATAGAGCAGAGAATAAACTCCATATCCAAGGAGCAGAGGGAAACAAGCCCAACTGAGATATCGAAAAGCTAACATATCATATTGTTTAGTACTTGATTCTACATAAGAACCTTTATCAGTAAAAGTTAACTTTGGTAATCCAAATATTCTATCTTCTCTATTTAATTTTACATCCATAACTTTGTTAATTTTCCAAATTTCAATTAATAAACCAATGAAACATGAAATTCTCACCATGACATTAGTTTCATTATCTAATACATAAAGTAGCACTACAGTTGATTGGAAAACATTAAAGAACACTGATCTCACAGACAGACCTTCAAGTGATTGTCTGTTATTCCAAAATTGAATATCATTCTTGAAAGCTAATAGTTCAAATATTGAGTGTAGAATTGAGACTGATATTGTCAAAGCTAATAAGTAAGGTGATGTGTCTAAAAGTAATTCTTTAATTGTATCTTGCTCTTCATCTTGTTCCTCAGCTCCTAAAGCAGAAAACATATTCAATTTATCACGCATAGCTTGTGTAGTATAGAGTTGCCATTTAAAGAGACTCAATGGCTGGAATGTCAATTGTAATTCAAGGACTGTAGATGTTTTGTTTAGTGGTACATAATCCCTCATCATGTTCCAATAATCATTTAAGAATACAGCCGGTTTGTACTGCTTGCCACCAGGTAAGAAATAGATAAATTCATCTAATGGAGGAGGGACACTGCCTTGCATCCAATTTGTTTGATCAGTGACCAGATTTATTGTTAAGTTTGGATGCCAATGAGATACAATTTCCTCTTTTAATGTTTCTGCTTTCATAATTTCTTCTTCTGATTTTTCAGTTTGTCCAGTTAATAAGTTGTGAGTTTTTAGATACTTTAATTTTTTGTATTTATTTATCATTTTTTTGCCATATGTTATGTAAGATCCCGCATAGATACTTTTGTCCTTGGGATGTGGAGATTTTCCTGATGGTACAATATATACATGAAGATATATAGAACCATTGTTTTTCAGCTCTTCTGAAGGAACAAAACTCGTTGAGTATGTGAATGTACCATCGCCATCAGGTCCAGAATGCCAGTCACCATATACTAGTCCTGGTAATTTCCAAACCAATTTTCCTTCATCAAGGTTATTAAGAAACTCTTTTTCTGATAAGTAAGAATACATGTCTAATACTGTCCCATTTGCAAACATATTTATTGCAGGAGAACGCGCCACTCCTGCTGGACTGCTAACATCAGTCTTAGGCACTGATGGCTGACGAAACATTGAAGTTATAAAATATACAACTAAAGCTCTAATTATCAATGATTTTGTTATAGCAAAAAATGATTCCATTTTCGACGGTTGCATCTGGCGACGCTGCTCGTCAATCTGTGCATTGATCTAAAAAAATAAAAATTACAGCCTATACGACCTAAATCATTTATTTTTTTCTTAATAACGTACAAAAATAATATACCAACACTAATAATTACCGATATAATAAAATATTTTAAATCTTAAATGCAGGAATTATAATGTAGTAATATAAAAACCTATACCAATTACCACAAAAAATATATTTTACTTACATCGACATTTTCATCTACGTTTGAACCTATTTCTTGAGAGTTATTACTGGGAACTAGTTTATCTGACGTATCATTTGACGAATTTTCTTCGTGACCATTATCCATTTTGTAAAATACCACTTAGTCACTCTTTGAAGTAAAAAAAGAAATCCGAAATTCTCTCATTGATTTTACAGCAATGTGATATAGATTTTCAGCAACATCATGGATGTTAAATGTCAATTTCAAGTGTTGGCAGTTAAAAAATTTACTTTCCCTGTTTTCCAATTAGAGCACTAAAGTGCATTATGCGCCATAATGCTTACTTCGAATGTTTCAACTGCAGAAACACACCTTAAAACTGAGCATTTTAAAAAGTACTGCTTTGGCCGCTTGGCGTGATGCGTGCAAGGATACCAACTCAGTAGCAGTAAATATATTATGTAGTGTTTTTTCTTCAAGGTGGCATTGATCAAAATTTTATTTATATTATTGTTAGTAATATTTATTTATATTTCATTTATATTATTATAATATTTATTACATAATTTATAATACGTTTATTATATTATATGTTTATTAGCTATATTTTTTTCTTTCAACACTGAACCTAGTGCCCTCTGCTGGTGCAGTTATTCACGTTCCAATTAAGGAATAGACCATTAGCACACTTCAACATTGTGCGCTAAAGTGTGGAATTATGCTATGTAATTGGAAAACAAGGTTAAACTAACGATTGAGCTACCTTTACACGCTTACCGAGGCTTGGCAAACGTCTACAAGCTCCAAGCCTTTACAAACGCTTGGATGCCATCTACACGCTTGCGAGTGCGTTAGTAATTAGTATGTTCCGGACAAAGAGAATGTAACCCTTGGTTCCGGACAAGCAAACATAGCAGACGTGGACTTTAAACTTGTGTCGATTATTGCGTTTGGTTTGACATATTTTTATTTAAAACTAGCATTGCCTGCGGCTCCGCCCGCGTTCTGATGACCAATAACCAAATTCTTAGGTTTTACATATTAATATACTGTTACACTGCAGTTTTTGTATTTTTTTTCCTAGAAATGAGACATTTACCCGCGGTAAAAAGTATCCTATATGTTGATCCGGAAAACCAGCTATCACCATACCAAATTTCATCAAAATCCCTCCAGTGGTTTTTCTGTAATGCGGTAACAAACAGACAGACAGACAAACAGACAGACAAAAATTCTAAAAACTATAGATTTGGCCTCTCTATCGATAATAATGTTTATTTCAATAAGATTTTCCAAAAAATATTTAATGTACAGATTCGGCATGGTTACAATTTTATTATATATATATATATATATATATATATATATATATATATATATATATATATATATAGATATAAACAAAAATAAAGGAAACGAAAAGTTCGGCAGAGAAGATGGTGGATGTTAAAAGGCCATAATTTCGTCGTTTGACCAACTACTCATGGTTAATACGAAGGTCGAAATCGTATACAGCACAGCGTAAAAATATCCGTTCAGCGCGAGCTCGTGATGGAACAAAAAATGTCCTCGCCAAATGAGCGCTTATTTGAAATTTTGAGCGCGCTTTTAATTTAGTAGCATGTAAATTGTAATCGCTCCGACAGTAAATCTTCCTCGGTGTTAGTTTAAAAAGGACTCTAAAACGCTCGGAGTTTCATATTTTTTGTAAATATAAATATTATCATCATATTATTGTAAATACTGATATTTTGTCAAGAAATCATCGTAAAAACAGTTTGTAAGCATTTTATTAATTAAGTCGTAATAAACACTCACTAGTCACTACCTATCTTGTCACGGCGCGCGCGGCGCGGCGTAGCGACTAGCGCCGTGGGCCGTGGCGGCGGTGACGAGCGGCGAGCTTTGGTCGTAATGTTTTTGTGAAAACAACTTTAAGCATTGCATTTTAGGTTCAATTTAAGTACATTGCTCTATATTTATTTCAACTAAAATAATTACCTAACCACAATTGGTGAAAGTTTTAAGAGAACTTTTACATTAACTATATAATATATACATAGGTATGATGAGTTGTTGTGGGTTGTATTATAACGTGTTTCCCGTGGGAATGAGATAATCTTCCGCGCTAACAAGAAACCTATGTCACTCTCCAGCCCTCCAACTATCTCCATACAAAAAATTACACCAATCCATAACTACTTCAACGTAAAAGAAGGATAAACAAACAGACACACTCTCACATTTATAAAATTAATATGGATATCAAATTATTAGCTTATAGTAACTAAGATAAAAGTTAAACCGATACTGTTAGGTATAGCATCACCTTGTGTTAATTTGTAACGGTGTATTATACTGTTGCACTAGTGACTGTGTCCGATTGAGCTGCTAGCTCTACTTAGAAACCCATATGGCTTATAATGATTCCTGGATCCGACCTCCTCGTTAGGTTACTAGCTTTAGGGGATTTTAATACCTAGGAGTTCCAAGGTTGGCGGTGTTAAATCTTCTCCGTGTAAACGCAATTCGGTCATTCGGGAAAAGGGCGAAGTAAACATACTTACCTCACTAATCATCGATTTGAATTGAACCCGCACAATATAGGGATCGTGTATTTAAAAAATGTAAACGCTTGTTATATAATTATCTGTTTATTTCAAACACAAATTGAAAGATTCGACAGTTAATCGGACCCAAACGCATTCGGAAACCGTGGATGTTCGATTCCCAAACCATTATAAAGTTAGTCTTGACAACATTTAAACAAAACATAAAAAAACGTTACTAACAGCGATTCACTTTATAAAGTTTTTCTAGAATCTACTCATAATACTCAGTTGTATGTTGTACATCCGACACTGGATCCATCACAGAGATTTCATTACCTAAAAATCCAAAGTAATTTTGAACAGAAACACTTATTTCTGGAATTATTCTCTAGCAATGTAGATTGTTGCATGATTTTCCCCTATCAATAAAAAAGGCCATATACTACTTCTCATGCTTGTACATTATACCTTTTCGCAGGTTTTTGGTATAACCTCGCAACTACCATACATCATCTTCCATTGTCTCAGGTGATCCTTTGTACAAACTGACATAGCAAGGTATTATGTCGACAAGCACAAGTTTTTATTTGCCTTAATGATAACAGTCCACTAAACAGGACTCTATTGTACGGTTACGAATTATAAATGCAAATAGTGATTGCTTAAATTATATATTTTATAAATACTGTGTCTAACATAATTGCATCAAATGAATTATTTAGAGTGAAACCTTTAGGAAACAACAAGTTCATAACTCAAACTATGTTTGACATAAATATTCGAAAAAAAATTTGGTAAATTGCTAAGTTTTATAAGTGAGAGAAATAACTAGCCTTAAGATAATCATTTATTATTTCATGTTAAGTGAACTGTTACCACTTTAAACCTTTCTTATTATCGCTATAATTAATCTTGCATTTCCTCAGGCAGTTCGTGAGGATTGATAATGCCCGGGACAGACAACTGGACCCTTCGCTTTTCTTCTTGCGCTTGACGAAGCGCAAAAAGCCGCTCTTCTAAATACAAGTCACTGTCGTCTTCTCCTGTGTACTCCTGTGATCAATGAAAGTTTCATTATAATAACGATTTTTTATTTCCAACTCAAGTCTAATAAATATTTAATAATAGATATGAATATTAAAAAAATATATTTCTAAACGTAAATTGTGAAGAAGTCATTTTAGAAGAGTCATTTATACCCTCAGAAGATTTTTTAATGATATGTGACTTTTTTTTGTTCAGCTTTCAAATCGATAGATACAAAAATATTTATATTTTTTATTTGCTTTTAATTCTTAAGGTTTTTAGTAAATAGTGGATTTTGTGTCAAGTTGTCTGTTGTCAAGTTTTCACATTATATAGAGCAGAAAAGTTGCATGCAGAGAATTTAAACAGAAAATAGAACAGATTATTTTTACAGAAAAAGTTATGTAATAAATCGACATTTTAGAGTAGGTAGATGTTTCTTTTCATTAAAAAATATGGAATCAGTAAAAAAGTAAAGGCATTCAAGACTGGATGATAATGAAAAAAAATATCAAATCCTTTCTTACAAGATGTGTGGGATTTTTTTTTCACTAACTGAAATTATGGATCTTTATGTAACACATCGTATAGCACCCACTAATGATCCGACAAGTTCATTTAATTGTCCTGGGGTACGCCCACACAACCATTATAATTATTTTAAGTTGTATAATATATGAACTATTACTTACTCTTATTTGCACTAGGAAATCTCTCAAATGATCTTTGAAAGCTGGTATGTCTTGGTCCAAATTGAACAGCCCTTGAACCGTTATCTTTACTTGATTGTCTGTCAAATGCGGGAATGCTGTTTTCAAAAGATTAGCCACATATTCCTGGAATCATTAGATACAATAATTAATATGACATTTTAAAATTAAATTAAGATTTCACAAACTGTTTTCATGGTAACTTACCTGGATGTATAGAACATTATCGGGAGTGCGACCAAGTGGTACTGAGACTCTTCCAGTTTCCACCAGAGAAAAAATGTATGCAAGAATAGTAGCATGCATCGTAAGGCCAGCACCGTGGGAAGTGTCGGTTACGACACTGAATACATGTTCCAGGATGTCACATAGGTAGGTCTGATAGAAACTTTGTGCTGCCTGTGGATGTTGTTCAACATTTTGTAGCAGTCTGTATAATATCTGGAGGCCTGTATCAGCTACATTTCTCATTGTATGCTTAAATGCCCATATTATGGAATCCAGCACCAATTTAAATTGAGCTGGAGGTATACTTAGGAATGCTTTGAAACAGTGTGTATTGACTGCCTGTAATAATAGGAAAAATTCAGTCCTATGTTCTGGATATTCTTCAAAATCTTTGTTAATCATTTCCAAAGTACATTCAAATACTGCATCAAAAATTTTTGGTACTTCAGAAGTTATATGGCCTCCAAGCTTATAAACAATGGCTGCCATACATGATAACACTTCTGGTTCTCTTGCATCTGGTACTGCAGTTCTTTGATAATCCAAGAGAACAGCATCAAGTAAAGGAGGAATAAAATTTTCCAACACCATACTGTTATCTGTAGAACGTGAAACCCAACTTGCTATTAATTTTAAGGTTTCTTTTTTTATTATTCTCATATTTTTTATCAGAGGTTGTTTAGTTACCACTACTCCATTCAAAGCAATTGCTTGACTTATATTTTCTGACATTACTTTATAAACATTCAACATGTCCAAATAAATTCTTCCGAGTTGAACTACATAGGGATGACCCAATGCTCTACATGCTCGCCCATTAGTTTTCAGTATACTCACAAGCTGTTTAACTGCTTCAGGATCTTTAAGAATATCAACATTATGAGAAGCTTGAGAAATAATGTCATCCCAGACCTGATTTGGTAGCAACATATACTTTTCTATCAATTGCTCCTGTGCAACTTGATCCACCTGTGCACTAATCATGTATCCAACTGCTTCATAAAATGTATGCACTTGTAATGTCTGCAAATCACAGATAATAGAGCTGATTGTACTAAGGATTTCTTCAATGAATGGACAAGCTTCCCCTACTTGAGTGGTGACAAAATGGCGTCGACATTTTAAAGCTATTTTAATAAATGTATCACACGCCATATCCTGAACACCATCATGTGTTTCATGCATGAATTCAAAAAGTTTATTTACAACAGTTTTCAAGAATTTCCAATGAGCTCTGAGAAATCGAGGATATTGTCCAACTACATACATGATGTTACTGGCTATAATAGCTTTGTTATCTTTTCCTTTCTTTTGCTCACAGAGACCTAGCAGTTCTTTTATAACAATAACTAAAAAACGTTTTTCATCTTCTTCCATCATTGCTCCTGATATGGACCCAATTGCCCAACAAAGGGTGTTAAGATTTTTCCATGACCATTCTGTTCCATTAACTTGATTTTGAAGTTTTTCTGTCATTATTCTCTCAGTATCTTGATAATCCAAATGAGTCAAGTAAACCAATGTTTCTCGCATATTTTTATACAAATTAATAGAATCAGTATCTTTCATAAATTCCCTAACCACTTCACCATTTTCATTTTCAACTACCAGAACTTCTTCAGGTTTCGCCATCCTAGATATCATAATATACCGGACCCCACTTAGAACATCAGCATATAGTGCCTTACGCCCTACGCTTTTTCCTAAACTATACAAACCAGCTGAATGTGCACATGGAGCAATCTTATACAATTCAGCAGCCAATGCATTCCAAAATTCTAAACATATTTTGAAAATTTCTACTTCCTCTACCTCCGATATTAAGACAAGGTATCGAAGTGCATTCATTAGGGTATTAGTAAGACCTTTTCTTTCAATCAGCTGTCCATGTTCCTTTAAATAAGTACAAAGAAATAAGGCAAGATTCTGGATAAACACTTGCTCTTGATCTCGCCCAGCTGCATAAGCCTCTCGTATATTAGTTGTAAGAGGAAGCATTGCTTCTAATTGCTCCATTGTCTGTACAAGTAGAGCAACAAATTGTTCTTCATAATTACTTACTGTAACTCCAGCTATTTCAGTTAAACAACTTAAGGTCACATTACGAAACATTGGGACATTTAAAAATTTAAATATTAAGGTGCTTATCAATTTCATTTCAAAAATATAACCCAGAGGAATCCAATTTAAAAATCTTAATAATGTATGTAGAGTTGCATCTACCAGTGGAGCATTTTGTGAATTCTCAAGAACAAATTGACAAAGAGTGAAAATTTGACTGAATTCAGAACACATGGTATCCTTCAGATGCTTAGCTTTTGTTTGCGTTAGCTGACCTGTACTGAAGACAAATACTTCTTCACTAAGAAGTTTTAGGATAACCATGTTATTTTGGCATAGACTCTCATTAGTCTTGGATGCACCAACAATATCACTAATAAAAGTCTCCCAGTTGTGGGGCCACTCTCTTTTTAACACTTGGATTAAAATCATGTTCAACTTTTTTAAGTATACTTTATTATTTTCCATAGTAACAGGGTCTGATGAATTTTTTATAATAAGACCAACAATATACTTTTTTATACCTTCACATTGATTTCGAGGTAACACTTTCCATCTCGTTTGTATGACTTGTTCTAAGATCTGTAGGGCATAATATTTTGTTTCCTGGTTTTGAGAGTACTCTAAAATTGTGTCGACTCTTGTCCATGCATCTGGATGTTCTTTCAATGCTGTTAAAATATCTTGTGCAACTCTCTGTTGATCTCCAACAGTAGAATATAGACATCCAACAATATTATCAAGAAGATTTATATCAAGTTTTTGGTTGAAATCTAAAAGTTTAGAAGCTTGCTGCTCTAAAGTTGCCATTCTGATTGTGATCAAAACTTAACTGTAACTTATTTTCCTTAATTAAAACCAGGTAAATTGTATCTTATTTTCAATCATTCCTCATTACACACCACTCTGCAAGAAATAAAGATAAAATTAAGTAGATATATGCTCTAACCTCTTACTAAAACCTAAGTACAAGTACAAAGATTACAAGTATAAGTTGCTGTCATTTCCATAATAATTAAATTTTAACGTAACTGTGCAGCACTTCATGATGAAATCCTCGTGTTTTAAAGAAGAAGAAATATAGAGTGCACACACCCGTAAGATTAACAATGACATTTTCGTAATAAACTTCACTGGTTTAAAGTATACACATATTATTAAATTTACGATCAAAAATAAATAACACAACACATTTACATGTTACTTACCCGGGAATATTAATTGCGGCGCAATCGGTTAAATACGCTTCCATATACACTAGCCCGTTGTTTTCGTCGTTTTCGTGATGCTTGAAAAAGCTAGTGTACATGTCGTTATGTCTATGCTTCATAACTAGAAGCTAGTAGAAACCACAGATAAAAAAAGCAAAAAAAAAATTTTTCTGAAAATATTGTATGCGTATTTTATATAATTTGTGAATTTAGCAGTAAAGTATATTTTTAAAATGCTATGAAATTTGTCAAATATATATTATAGTAGGGGAGCCCAAGAGGGGATTTTTGTAGTTACTCAAGCGCGGCAGATTAACATAAAAGAGGTTACCTTGCACTCTATTGAGTACTTTCACCATAATATAAGTCTTCTATATAAAGGGGCGCGTCTAGGGAAGCCGATTAAAATATTTAAAAAATGTTATGATAAGGTAGAAATACTTGAAACCGTCAGATTAAGGTGTGGTAGGCTAGTCACATCCTGAAAAGTGTCCAATTTAATAATCTGCCGATTTGCACAAGCCTAAGAGGCAAAAATCATCATAAACTTTATAGTAGATTTATACTCTACTATACTCAATAGAGTGCAAGGTAACCTCTTTTATGTTAATCTGCCGCGCTCGAGTAACTACAGAAAATCCCCTCTTGGGCTCCCCTACTATTATTTTTAGTTGAAAGAGACTAGAAAGTGTTTTGTGTAAGTGGCGTCTCTATAGTCTAGATTAAATTCTTTTTTTTATACTGTTTAAGTTATAACAACTTTAAAGTTAAAATAAAACTTAGCTAGCAAAAAATTACCTTTGAGCATAAAGGAAGCTGTAAAATAGAAATTATCCAGATTCGGCCGTTTGCAAGTAAATCGATTGTAAAAAACTAAAAAATATAATACATATTATAACAAATATCAATTAAAAAGGCTTACTTTTTGTTGAGATACTAAGCATTTCTTAATTAGACAAATACAGATTGAAGGTCAATTTAAATATGCTCTGAAAATAGAGAACATGATAAAGTACAATTTTAATGCTTCACTGACCTTTTTATTTATATTTTAACCTTTGTATAATCGCTCTTGAACTGAAAGAAACTTTCTCTTCATAGTCTAGGCCAGTGATGGGCAAAGTACGGCCCGCGGGCCAACTCCGGGCCGCGAAAGTAGTTAATCCGGTCCGCCGAGGGTCCATCGACATGGATAGTATATGACCCGCTATAATTACGTTTTGATGGTCGAGAAGTATAAATTAGATTCTACTTAGGGACAATTTTTCAGTCATCGAATAACTGAACAAATATCTAACTACCGAATTAACTTAACTGATTAATAAATGGACAAATAAAATTGTTGCATTTTTCAATGGCCAGATAGCGAGGGAATAGTTATCTGTGGATTTTAGTTGCCAACTTCACTGTAATATTATGCAAGCGTGAAACACGCATACGGTGTAATGTATGTTAAAAGAGAATAGCAAATACTTTAACATTCGTTTTTTTGACGTCAGTTAATTTAACTGTCAGTGAGTTTAACTGTCAGTAAGGTTGACTGTCATATTGATTAACGGCTAGTAAGTTAAACTGTTAGTTAACTGTCTATTCGTTTAACTGTCAGTTATTTTAACAGCTAATAAGTTAAACTGTCAGTTACCTTGACTGTCAGTTAGTTTAACTGTCAGTTTATTTGACTATCAGTAAGTTTAACTGTCAGTTTGATTTACGGTCAGTAACGTTAACTGTAAGTTAGATTAACTGTCAGTTTGATTTACGGCTAGTAAGATTAACTGTCAGTTAATTTAACTGTCTGTTAGTATAATCTTCAGTTAGTTTAACTGTTAGTTAGTTTAACTTTCAGTTAGTTTAACTGTCAGTACGTTTAACTGTCAGATAGATTAACAGTTAGTTATCTAACGGCTTGTTAGTTTAACTGTTAGTTACTTTAAACTCTTAGTTTGATTATCTGCCAGTTAGTTTACTGTTAGTTTGATAAACTGCTAGTTAGAGTAACTATCATTTGTAACGTGTGTATGTAATGCATTGCAATGCACAGCATTTCACACAAGTGTGTAATTAAATAAGACGACCAAAATTGAGGAAATCACAATCTTTATATTTAAGGCTAAGTGGAAATCATTTTAAAGAGATTTTAAAACTGTTTAATCTTATTATATACACGAGAATATTTAATTTTTCTACAGAAATTTATACATGAAATATTGCTCATTCTAAAGTAAAATATGTTTCCCTCTTTAGTCTATGGTTTTTATCACGTTTATTTAACCTGTGGTTCCCAGTTGCTGTTGATGATTTAATAATTAGAGTAGGTATACATATAGCATAAGTATACTCACCTACCCTACTCCAGCCTGCAAATTTATGATATTCGCAATGAAAAAAATACTAATCGATAGGTAGGTAGGGTAGGTAGTATACTCTAACTTGATGATATACCCTATGAATTATGTTACCTGTCTATAACTATTTAGTCTGTGGTTAAATTCTCTTTGCTTTATGCACAGCCAGTGATGCCAACTTAACGCTTTTGGCGCTAGATCTAACGCTTTTTTGGCTCTGTCAGCGCCTAACAAAAAAAACATAGTGCTTAGCGCCCAATCTAGCGCTTTTTAATAATATTTCTCTTCTTTGAAATAACATGTAACGAAACGTAATTGTTCAAAATAAATAAAACAACAAGCATCCAGAGCCTCATAAATAAAAAAAACTCCGATTTTTTTAAAGATTAGAAACGACTACAGTTCTCGAGGCGTAAACTCTTAGCTTTTATTTGTCATCCATGCTCTTAGCTCAGCTTTGCAATTGTGCGAGTGATAGCCAAAAGTAAGGTTAGTCACAAAAAAATCACATAAAAATAAAATCAATATTTTATCAAAAGGAAATGCTGATATTTTAACTATTAAAAAAAAGCAGTCATGAGGACTGCCGACAGAAGTGAAAACATAAAACTATGAACAAACAGTTGTTATTTTTGGATATTAAAATTAATTGCTTGATCTTAAACTAAAATTTGTAATTTAAAATTGTTTATATTTATCTGGTTTTGCCATTTACCTATCGGCACTCTGAGTGTTACCGTTAACATATTCGTTAATTTGGCACAAAATGTCTTTCGTTTGGCTGCTTAATGGTTTTCGTGTAGTCAATTTAGTTACAGTAGAAGCAATTTTACTAATGATAATAATTTTTTAAATAAAACTATCTTTTCGGATTTTGTCGCGGATTTATTTGCATTTTTGTTTCCCGACGTTTCGAATGCTTTACAGCATCCATGGTCACGGGAGAGACTGAGGTGTTACATGTCTTGGATGTATAGTTGTTACAGACAGCCTACCCACAATTAACAAAATGAAAATTGCACCAATTACATTACAATATTTTTTAACTTTAAAAATTTTTATAATTTTAATTATAATTGAATATGGAATATTATTTATTTTTGTATTAGTATTAGTATATTAATTTTTGCTATTATTTTTATAATTATTACAATTTTAAAATATTAATTAGTAATCTATATTTAGTGTTGCCATTATTATATTTATAACCATAAAGAAAAATATAAAATATAGTGTTAATTATTTAAGCCATATAATTGTTCTATGTGTAATTTAAAAAGTTAATTAAGGATAATTATTTTAATTTAGTTTGCTATTATTTAAAACAACTTACTAAGCAACACTATTACTATATTTATATTTTGATCAAAATGACAGCATACCAGATTAATATTTTTCATTTCTCATTTGTAAAAGTATATAGTAATAGCTTCATAGCATAGTAGCTATTAAAATTGTAGATCATTTTTGTCTTATTATGTAACTTTTAATTAAAAATAATTACCAATTTTTTTAATTGCTTTTATAATTTAGCGCTTTTCTTCGAAAAATGTGCAAATCTAGCGCTTTTTGAAGTCAAAAAATTAGCGCGTTTTCTTTAAAGAGTGTTGGCAACACTGTGCACAGCATGGTATTACTATTGGATCATGTATGATTGAGTATTGACAAATAAATTATAAAAGTATACAATAAACAATTACAGAATCATATGCAAAATTGAAAAGACAAATTAAAGTCATTATTTTAATAAAGAATTTACATGCTCAGTACTCTATGTCTTGAAACGGATTAAATGTAAATCATAATAAAACGTAGTGGTTACATTCTCTTTGCTAATAACTAGGAACAAATTATTACAATTTAAGTAAAGTATATTTTGTAATATCTATTGCAAATTGAAAAAATGAATAGGAAAAGGAACGTAAACTATATAAAACCTGAAGACCCACACTTCTTGAAAATTCTTAAAAAAGAAGCGGGATATGACAACGTTAATCATAAATTTGATAAGCTTGAAAACTCTGAAGAAGATTTTGTTGATGATGAAGACAGTGAACAACCTCAAGTAGTTGTTATCAAAAAAGGAGATCTTACTGCAGAAGAGGCAGATGCTGAAAAGCAGAGGTTAAAAAAGGAAGAATCTGAAACTAAAGCTGATTTAAGCCAAAGAGTGGTATTTAAAGTAAATAAAAAGGCTGAAGTTAGTGACAAAAAGAATAAAAAAAAATTATCTGAGAAAGACAACAAAAAACAACTTTTATCATTTACAGATGATAATTCAGATTTAGAAACTAATTTTGCAACATAGGACCTATTTGTATTCTTTAGTTTATATGCTAATGATTTTTTTTTCTGACTATTTATATATGTACTTTACTAATTAAATAATATTCATAAGAAATAACAATAAAGTATTAGGATATGTTTCACTAATAAAAGAAGTGAGATCTAACTGGATACTAATTTTTTTCAACATTCTTAAAATCATAGTCCTGGTTCTGTACAAAACTAATTAATATTATAATTAGTAATACAAAAATTACTTTGTCTTTAATATCAACTGTTATAATGATGATTTCTATTAAATATCCAACAACCTACCTGCATAGGTACTGATTTTTAATGAGTTGGATTTTTGATGTGAGAATTGGTGAAAAAAGACTTTCTTCAACATTTTCAGACTAATCGTTTGACGATTTTATTTGATATTTGGGATTTGTTAATAAGAAGAGTATCTTACTAGACTTGCTAAATTGTAAGTCTATAGGTTTAATAGGTTGCAAGTTAGGGAGGTGTCAAGTGTTTAGATAAAATGCATATAATCACCCATTTGCGACCCCCAATGCAACTTTATAATAGACTAATGGTACAAAAAAAATTGTTAAGTAAACATACTTTGTTTTGTTTATACTATAAGCATGTGTAATTGTGACAGGGACCATAAAACCTGGGTTTACAGTTAAGCCTAATGAAATGGTTAACCATTCAAAATGATTTTAGAAAAATCTTGTTAGTTGTTACCTATTACATGTGTAACCCACCTACTAGCAAATGGAATGTGTTAATTAATCATATGTAATGATAACCCCTATTATAGAATTAACCCTATCGAAAAGGTTACCACATCATATATCAATCTACTAGATACTCAACCTCGCTTCGCTTGTGTTGGTCCCTAGCTTGATTCGCCATACAAACTTTCATCCCCATTTTCACCCCCCTAAGGGATGATTTTCGGGATAAAAAGTGTCCTATGTCCTACCCAGGGTCTCAAACTATCTTCTTACCAAATTTCATCTAAATGGTTCAATAGATCCAGAGATTACCTCCTACAACGTCACAAACTTTACCTCTTTATAATATTAGCATAGATGAGATTTACTCGAAACTTCTTTTTATGGAGTGATAGGTAGGATAGGTAGGTAGAATTTAATTCTAAAAGTATAGAAAATGAAATCTATTTTCTTATAGTGGAATTAGTAGCAAGCATTTAGCAAACTGTTAGTTAAGTATGACTTACGTACCTACTTATTAGTCTAAAATTCCTGTACATATCTGTGGCTGTATTTCCAGGTTCTCTTTACTTCATAGTAACATGTACCTATTTTATGTGAATAATTTTAGTCTAATATTGTATCACATTTTTTTATTGGATAATACCTACATTATAGATAGGGTTATTGGGTTTTCCTTACCCTAATAAAAGGGGTTAACTCTATGATGTATATATATATATATATATATATATATATATATATGTGAGTCCGCTAACCCGCACTTAGCCAGCGTCGTGGACTATCGACCGATCCCCTTCGTAATGAAGGGAGGCCCATGTCAAGCCCAGCAGTGGCACGTTAAAAAGGGCTGAATACTACTATGATGGAAATGATATTATTAAGCCTGTTAACTGGGTAACCTATGAACTGGGTATGAAAGAATTTTTGTTAAAACACTACAATAAACAATGTTATAAAACCTTTAGGGTAACCAAATGGGTCACAGGTTTCTGATGACAAAATTATTATAATTTTTATAATACCATTTGTAATTTTTTCCTTGTCATATACTAGGAATATTAAAACTGTTGTCAATTTATTATATTTTACCTTTATTTAACTCTACATTAAATATTAACATTGTGAATAATAAAGAATTGTAGATCTTAATTGATTATTTGGAATAGCTAAATAATTATTCTGTTCTGTTGCTGTTGTTGAAAAGTATGTCAGTGTTGCAGGGCCAATAAATTTAGTATAGCAATTACAATTCCATCACGATTTTAAGTAGTTATTCATAACCAAATAAATAAAATATTGATTTTTTATTAACTCTTATACAATAAGATTTATTGTGCCAAACGTGTCTGCCTCTCGTGGTGAATTCAAGCGAGGTCCCTATTATTATTAAATTTATAACCTATAATTTAAAATATTTTTATGAGATCAATATTAACCATGGCTTTTCAATTGTTTTCCAAAAATATATAGGTATGATGATTTCCCCAGGACACATTTCCAAAATAATCAAACCTGAAGGTTAGAAATGAGTGTGATTTATGACATTTAAAACCCTATGTTTAGATTTTAGGATTTTCTATGAATTTTACAATAAAATTGTACACTGTTAATTTTATACAGAATAGGTTAATACAAATACATACTATAGTGTCATTGAGTTTTAACATAGGAAAATAAAGTTAAAATTAAAGTCTCTAAGAAGTTCATCTCAGGACTGAGTCATTTTTCAAATTGCTGGATTAGTTCAAGAAAAGTAATGAATACTTGAACAGGATATTATATTATACTTTCTTAGATTTACGTGAATACTTGATAATTTAAATAAAACTATCTTTTCGGATTTTTTCGTGAATTTATTTTGATTTTTGGTTCTCTATATGGTATAGGGAACCAAAAATCAAAATAAATTCGCGAAAAAATCCGAAAAGATAGTTTTATTTAATATTGTTCGAAGTTTATGTACATTGTACACGTAAATTATGCATTCTTTATGACTTCTTCAAAGCTACGTCTTTTCTTGGGTTTTGATCTTGGCCCATTTGATATATTCAATGGTTTCTGTGAGTAATAAGAAATAATCATATCTGCCTTTTTTTCATATTCTAAAAGTTTACGAAGTAAAAATCTTCTTTCTTCTTTCACGATTTGTATATTTTCTTGAATTTTAGCAACTTCGTCACATAGTGCAGCATTTTCCTGAAACATTACAATATAATAAATTCCATACAGTTAATTAGTGAATCAAACTGCGATACAGTATAAACTATCTTACTATTATTAAACTTTTGATTAATAACTTTATACAGTGACATTTTTTACGATTTTTATTTTGCATAATACACATTTGAAGAGCTGTTATAATCTTTATTTACAGTTTACACACTGTTTATTATAACTTAATGCCTGTGGTAATCAAAGAGAATGTAACCACTACGTTTTAGATCAACACTATATTATTGAATTTTATTTGTCATCCATGGAATAGTAAAAACAATTCAATAGTGACAACTGACATCCGGATGTGAGTTTATGAATATTATAGAGTATAGACACTATATTTGCGCTGTAGCATAGTGCGGTGACAGTTTCAGTAACGTTTCGTTTCACTCTATAGACAACTTTATGACAAAATATAGAAAATTGTATTATACGCTTAGAATATACATAAACTATAGAGCGCGCGTAGGCAAGTATGAACTGTAAGCACGGGTATGAACTATAAACAGTCTCGAAAAAGCAAGGGCGATGCTATTAGTGATTACTGATATGATTAGTCAGTAGCAAAAATCCTTTCTCTTCGGATGCCTACATTACTATATTTTAGGCTGTGTATTTATCTATTAGTCATCAGGACCACCATAGTATGCACCTCTCCATCCCAATTCTTCCTCCAGCTGGTCTTACTTCCAGGTAGAATACATTGCAAAGGTAGTTATGATGCGAAAAAATAAAAGCAAAAAACTAGGCATAAAAGATATCACAATAAATTGCTTGACTGAATGTAAATAAGCCATACGTGTGGCGCCCTCCTTTCGAGAAATCTTCTATGTTTACTATCTTAGAGTATACATATCTTATTTTGTCATAGAGTATACAAATCGACTGGAACTCAATACCTCAAGTCCAGTTCTCTGGCGTTCCAATCCCTTATTGTAATAAAGTGAAAAACTTGGGCCTAATAATGGATTGTAACATGACCTGGGTAGCTCATGTCAACGAGGTCAGCAAACGAATGCATCACACTTTCCACTCTCTCAAACGTCTCCAATTTTTTCTCCCTTTTACAACCAAGATTATGCTAGCTCAATCACTCCTTCTCCCCATACTTGACTACGCCGATGTGTGTTATTTAGATGTGACTGAGGAGCAACTCAACAAATTAGAGCGTCTCCAAAATCTCGCTATACGCTTTATTTTTGGCTTGCGTAAGCATGACCATATATCAAACTTTCGTGCTCAACTTAAATGGCTCCCAATCCGCCTTCGCCGTGATATGCACATCCTTTCGTTCCTTTTCAATATTCTTAATGACCCTAATTCTCCTTCATACCTCCGTTCTCGTTTCCAAATACTCCCTACTCCTTCACGTTCCAGGCGGCCTTGCATCACTGCGACGCTCGATATACCCAAGAGCAACACAAAGTTCCTCTTGCATTCTTTTTCGGTGTATGGCGCATTGCTCTGGAACAAACTTCCTAAAGAAATCCAACTTAGTCCCTCTATTGATTCTTTCAAAAAAAAATTAAAACAGCACCTTCTCACTCAATTAAATCAAAAATTATCTTAATTACTATTATTATGTATTGTATTATATAGATATGTATTTATGTAAGTAGTAGTGTGTATGTATATATGTACATAAGTATGTATGGTATAAGTAAGTAGTGTATATTATATGTTATTATATATATTATTTAATTAGCTATATATTTTTGAGTATCTATATATTATTTATATAACTACGACTGCACGAATTTAGCCCGCTTTGTAACACTATTTCTCACTACCACAGGTTGGCTGGAAGAGATCTCTTCTAGAGATAAGTCCACCTTTGTAAATAACAACTGATTTTAAATTACTGTATTGATTTTTTTTTAAAGTGCAATAAAGAATAGTATATCTTATTTGTCCTCCATGATAAATATGCTATAGAGCGCGCGTATCGCTCATTGTCCATTAAGCGAAACGTAAGATGTTCTATACGCACCTATTGGTACATACTTGTAGATGAAGCGGTTGAATAATGATGCGCCTAGTAAAACTTTTAGAATTTAATTTAAAAAAAAGTATATTATTATAAACTATTTAACATAACCATTTATTCACGCACATATAGACTTTATTATCTAAAATGACAGTATTTCAAATTAATATCTTTCATTTGTAAATCGATGTAGTAATAGTGTTGCTTAATATTTTTTTAAATAATAGTAACCTAAATTAAAATTATATTTTATTCTCTTTAACTTCTCGCGTTCCATAATTATATAATAATTACACTACGGGAATTGAACGCAAACTACGGGAATTAAAGGTGAATTCACGCGTTTAAAACCCGTAATATTATTTTAATATTATTATTATTCTTAATTAATTTTAATTCAATACAAAGATTTTTTTGCCTGACATGGTCCTAGGCCCTAGCACGGTCCGGAGACGGTGTAGTGGACAGAATCCTTTAGACCCAATATTTTTATAGAAACATACTAATAGCCGCAGTCGCACTATATCACCAATAACAATTAGCGGATGACTAATTAATTTTATTCATCCAACAAATTTTTTTTCATATTCCATCCGATTAGCGGACGATCTCCCTGTTTATTATTATACTCTTTGCGGACGACTAGACACTTTGAAAATTAAATGTTGGCGACATTGTAAAAAATGTCAACTTTTTAACCGGCGTCCGCTGATGTTGTTTGTTTATTTCTCAAAACAGATATAATGTGAAATAGAAAATCATGTCTGGATTATCGGAGTATAAACATTTTTTTCCAATAGACAGTATTCAAAAAGTATGTGATCTATTTGAAGAACAACTGCGTAGTAACAAAGAACCTGATTTGGCTTTATTCTCTATCTTAGTAGGAGCTGTTGAAAATAATTTAACAAATGTTAAAAACAGTGACAAAGATGTCAATCTAGCATCAAATAAATTTGTTAAAATGAAATTTCCATCAGTGGAATGGGATGAAGTAAAATCGCTGTATGAAAGATTTGTAGCATTAATGCGTAGCGGCGTCGATGCTAAACTTTTGAGCGGTGAACTAGCAACGCGCGATTTGGTCAAAAGAGTAGCTGATGTTGTTTGGAATTCATTAACTCGAAGTTATTATAAAGACAGAGCTCATTTACAGTCTATTTATAGCTTTTTGACTGGTAATAAGTTAGACTGTTTTGGTGTGGCTTTTGCTGTAACTGCAGGTTGTCAAGTGTTGGGGAAAAATGATGTTCATCTTGCACTATCTGAAGATCATGCTTGGGTAGTATTTGGAAAGGATGGGACAAACACTGCAGAAGTAAGATATTACTGTGTAAGAAACAATTATTTTCAGCATTTTTGATGTAAAATTCAATTTAAAACAAAAGTGATTAAAAACTCAAACTTGCTAAAAAATTGAGATTTGGCCTAGTCTGGAGATATGGTTTATATTTTTAAATAGAAAGGTGATAGGGTACCCAAATATATACAAATAATAATAATATTTTAAGAATAAAAAGGTGACAAAAACTAAAGCTATAACACTTTCCTATACTATTCTGCCTTAAGATATAAAAAGTATTTGCAATATTCTTAACACTTATTAGTAGTAAGGGGGCTTAAGTATTTAAAATGCTTTACTTTAAATTCAATCTCTGTAAAGTGTTTATGTGTAAAGATAGGACTTGGAAATGGTAGGTCAGAAAACCCACTGCTGAATGTTAAATTTAAACTGGGCGTAAAATAAGTTTAAATTATCTTTTTTATTCTTTATTTGAATATAGAAAAACTTTTCTAATAAGGTTTAGGCTAGTGTTTATTTACACACTGCTAAGTTGCATTGTATAATGATTGGATGGACAGCTACCGACAGTCTATATAATGGTAAGATTTAGGTAGAATTTGTATTTTTAGCTAATAAAAATATGTATTAAGTTATGTTAGTATTTTTTAACTAACTCTATTGTATTGACAGTTAGATTATTAGATATTGAAAAGTCTCAGAAGGATTTTTGGTGTCTAATACTATGAAAAGCATAGTAATATATGGGTAGGTTTTATTATGTTTATATTTAAGCTAATGTAACTTTTGTTTTTTCCCTTCAAATTATATTTCATAGTTATATGTATATTTAAATGAAGTTGTAGATTATAATAAAAATATATACTAAATACTATTATTTACCTATACTCAGGTTACATGGCATGGTAAAGGTAATGAGGACAAAAGAGGTAGATCAGTAGGAGAAGGTGTGCTGGCACGTTCATGGCTATATGTAGCGGGCAAACCAGTCATATGTACAAGAATAATGGAACTAGCTGCATTAGTTTCTTCTATTAATCCAACTTTAACTCCAACTATTGATGTTCATGAAGTGGCACAAATGCAACACAAGCTACTTTGGCTACTGTATGAAAAAGGTATATATAACATTTGGATTAAATTTATTGAAATTAATTTACAACTAAAATTTATTTATACAGATATTGTTAATAAATCTTCTGAGTGACCACTCTGTCAAGAGTGTAACAACACACTTGACAGAGTGGCTTGAGCTTGAGTGACTTGAGCACTGTGGCACACTTGATAATTCGTCACCATTCCTTCCTAACAGCTGCTTTCCTTGTACACTCGTATAAGGGAACATTCACCGCAGCCTTCACTTAGTCTGTCCGCCTCATGGGCGTTCTGCCACGTGCCCTAGTACCCGCAACTCTTCCGTGAACTACTAAACGTTCAATCAAAACATCATCATGTCTTGTTATATGACCAAAGTAAGTGAGAATGTGAGATTGTACAGTGGAGGATAGATGTTGCTTGATGCCGAGTTCTTCGAGAATGGACTTATTAGTCCGGAATTCATTCCAAGACACTCACTCAACATTCTTCTCCAGCACCACATCTCAAGAGCATCTATTCTCTTTTTCTCACTTTCTCGCAGGGCCCACGTCTGGGAAGCATAGAGGAATATGGGGAACACAAGCGCTTTAACTAGCCGGGTCTTAGTGGCCTTGGTCACGTTACAGTTCTTCCATATTTTCTGCAACTTATCCATGGATGACCTAAGTATTAATAGTAAATCTAAGTTAATAATAGTAAATTGAATTTTACTTTTTAGGACATCTGGATACCTACCCTATGGCTTTGGGTAATCTTGGCGATTTAGATGAGTATATGAAAATTTCCAATTGCTCAGAAGAACCTGAAAGTTCTATAACAAAAGATGGTATTATGAATTCAAAACCTGTTAATACACCGAGGCCAGATTCTGCTGCTTTGTATGTACAAGCAATTCGATCTGCCAGAACTCATTATGAAGATCGTCATGTATATCCATATACATTCCAAGGAGGTTACTATCATAGACATAAAATGTACAAAGAAGCATTTCATGCTTGGGCATGTGCTGGTGATGTTATAAGGCAGTAAGTTTCCAATATTTTAAATTTAAAAAATATTATGTTATATATTATGTATGATGTATCATATTATGTGTACTATTAAAACTATACAGCAAAACTTAAAGAGACTTAGTATTCATTTCATTTGCATAGTGCAAATGAAATGAAGATTTAGAATTAGAGTTTTTATTATATGGAAAGGTAGAAACAACACAACACATTACTTTAAATTATGATATTATATATTACTACTATAAAGCAAATTACAAACACATTTTATCAACACACAGACTAAAGAATGATTCAATAATGATAATGTAATAAAAATGATAATTAATTTAATTGATAATATAGAGACCGGCAAAATATTGATTAACTGAGCTGATTGAAATTGTCTTCAAAACATATTAGCCTATAAATGATTTAACTTAAATATTAACTATTACACTTCTTAATTCAATAATACTAATTTATGATTATACTATATTTTTAGTTACAACTATTCTAGAGATGATGAAGAGATATATAAAGAGTTTTCTGAAATTGCTAATGAGCTAATACCTCAACTGATGAAGGCTGAAAGTTCAGGACATTCTGCAAGATCAATTTTAAAGGACCCTGAATGTTTTGCATCTCTTTTAAGGTGAATAATTAAAATTCATTTATTTTTACTACACAATTATAATTGTAAATCTATGGGTAATAAATAAACAAAATACAATTTATTTTCATTATATTGCAAAATCTTTGAAATACAAGGACAAAACATACTTAATTATACCAAAAAAAAAGTTCTATACATTTGTTTAGGCCATTTAGACCAGGGTCGATAATTTTTAAAACCAAAAAAAATAATAGTAGGATGAAACCCATTAGAAAAGGAGGGGAATATTATAAAAATGAAAGGAAAAATAATTTACGGGCGATCTGAGGTTGGGAAGAGGATGGGGGTGAGTTTTTAAGGATAAAAAATGGTTTTTCTTGATTTCCGGCAAAACTAAAGGTCCTATTGAAAAAAGTCAAATGGCAAAGTTGTAGGTAATAAAAAGATCTAAAACTTTTGTATTTACATTTTTTTCACATAACCTCAAAATTTATGTGAAAAATTCAAAAAAACCAAGTTTTTGGTTTTTTATTTTTATCTTTTACAAAAAAAAAATTTTTTAACAAAATTACGTGAAAACTTACCTTTTTGTGTCTCAAATACGCTGTAATTTATTTGATTAAAAATATGTATTTTTTCTCCTTATTTTGAATTAATATCGAAAAAACACCCGTCAAAATATCAGCTTTTTTCAAAAAGTTGGTATATTTTCTGTTCGTTGAAATCTCTACTTTCCGATGGTGAAAAAAAAATATATGTTACTATAGTAAATCTTCTGAGAAAATGCCAAAAACAAAAAACCTTTTTTATTTCATACACTTGCTTATCATCTGCCTTATTGCAGATGATACAAACAGATTCATCCATACTGATAATCTGAAAAGACAAAATCGAATTAATAATGCCTTCACTATTTTATTGTGAGTATACCCCCATGAAAAAAATATATTAAAGAAATAAATGTCAAAATGTATAAAAAAATTATTATAAATATATTAAAAATCTATAATAATAAGATATTACCAAAAAAAAATTTGTTTTTATAACATTTTTTAGAAATTTCATTTTTAGTTAATTTAAAAAAATTATAATTAACGAAATAATAAACTTTAATAAAAAATTTTTGCATAACTTTATTAGGTACCAAAATAAGAAGAGCTCCACGAAGCGAAAAATTTATAGACTAATTATTTAAACTTTTATGCCGTAATTTATAAAAACAGAGATTGGAAAAAAATTAGTTAATTAACAATGGTGTAACTTTTTGAAAAATTGTCAAAAAAAATTTTTTTCACCGAGGTTTTTTTCGTTCAAGTGTCTAGATTACACCATAATTTATTCAAATTTTTAAATTGTTATTTAATATTAGAAAAAAATTATTTTAGGTGATATACCGGCTTTTTAGACGGCGCGCCTATGCCGTAACGCCCTCGCGGAGCCCTATTTCCAGCGTTAAAAAAAAATTATAAATAATATAGATAGAGCTCCGGGATTTAGGACTTTTTTATTGGAAATTTCCTCCTCTTTCAGGATCTTTTTTCATAATTCCTTAAATATCATTATTTTAAAAGTTATTAACGAAAAACTAAATACCTTTTTTTTTATCTTATTTTGTTAATAACAATTGCAATTTTTTATGTGCTAATATGCCCTTAAAAAACATTTTTCTAGACGTCATTCCGAATCGAATGAGCTATGGCACATATTTTTAGGAGCTTTATATCTATTTAACACGTTTTTGAACTTGTTGACTAGACTAATAGTAACATATATTTTTTTTCACCATCGGAAAGTAGAGATTTCAACGAACAGAAAACATACCAACTTTTTGAAAAAAGCTGATATTTTGACGGGTGAATTTTCGATTGAAAATTAAGGTGCTTTTTCGATATTAATTCAAAATAAGGTGAAAAAACACATATATTTAATCAAATAAATTACAGCGTATTTGGGACATAAAAAGGTAAGTTTTCACCAAATTTCGTTAAAAAAAGTTTTTTTTGTAAAAGATAAAAATAAAAAACCAAAAATTTGGTTTTTTGAATTTTTCACATAAATTTTGAGGTTATGTGAAATAAGTGTAGATACAAAAGTTTTAGATCTATTTATTACCTACAACTTTGCCATTTAACTTTTTTCGGTAGGACTTTTAGTTTTGCCGGAAATCGCGAAAAACCGTTTTTTACCCTTAAAAACTCACCCCATCCCCTTCCCGACCTCAGATCGCCCGTAAATTATTTTTCCTTTTATTTTTATAATATTCCCCTCCTTTTCTAATGGGTTGCATCCTACTATAATTTTTTTTCACTTTTTATTATTTTTAAAGGCTTCTACCCTGGTCTAATTATGTACATGAATTAAATATATTCCTTATGTAATACACATTATTAAACATTATCTTTATTTTCAAGATTTTATGATGGAATTTGCAAATGGGAAGAAGGCAGTCAAACTCCTATTTTACACATAGGATGGGCCAAGCCTCTTGTAAGTACAATATCTAAGTTTGATGCTGAGGTTAGGGCACAAGTTAATATCATTTGCAGTCCTGATAACGGTGAATCAGCTGATGAATCGCAAAAATCTGACAATACAGCTGCTAATGATGACAAAGAGCAAGATAATGACAGATGGAATAATAATTCTGAAAACACGGAAATGTCGGTACGAGAACAATTGACGGCCGCAGTGAATAGTCGGCCAAGAGTTACTCTGTACAGTCACAAAATGGCGGCATTGAAACCGTTGCTTTTAGCTGAACGGTTAAATACGCATGCGTTGCAATTGCAATTGACGGCGCAGAGTCAACTGCAGAGACCGCAGCCTCCTGCAAAGAGGCGAGATGACGAAGAGCACAACCCTTCAGCGCCCACGGCAAGGGCTAAGCGAGCTCGACGTGAACGTTAGGTATGCTCATGAGTCATGGTACCTTCAAGTGTAATAATCAGTAAAATTGTGTAAAATTATTGTCTATGCAGTTTGAAAATAATAATATGATGATTTGATACAGTTAATAGTGTTTGTTTTCTATATTTCTATCTTCTGAGCGATAATAGATGCAAATTGTCTGCTTGTTAAACTATTACTAAACATGGACCTATTGACTTGCACAATTTTTCTGATTATATAGGTTTGATCAAAAATACAATATGTATATATTTGTCTTTATTGTAGAAAATTTTAAGATTTAAGAACTTCTGACTCGATGTCATGATAAAATATTTTTGAATCTTTACTAGAAGCTTTAAAAATGATAGGTAAACTTTATTTTTACAAAGTGTAACTAGCTACTAGTAAACCAGCACTGGTAGACATTTGCAAAAATAATTAAACCATTAAAGTTAAGGATATAATTAGTAAGTCCTGAGAGTATTACTGTTATTTTAATATATCTGTTTTTAAATAAAACATAGTACCTACATCATAATCTATGAATAAAGTGACAAATATAATTGCACTGATACATAAAAATATGAATACCATTGCTTACATATAAAATGTATGAATGTTTTATTTAGAAAAATCGAATGTAATTTATTTACCTCACATAGCTTTTTAGTAATTCTCTTATTTTTCAAACCATATTTATTATAATTAAATAAAGAGAGCATTTACTTTATTGATCAGTTATGAATCATTATGTACATGAATTAACCATGACTTTAATTAAGTTTAAGTTATGTTTGCATGAAACACATAGAGTTTAAAACTCTTTAGGGGGCATCCATTAATTATGTGAGTGTTTTTCTTTTAATTATATACACCCCCACCCTCTTGGTGAGATTATGTGAGATTGATTGGTGGGACAAGCCCCTCTCACTCACGTGTTTATGCTACAGTTGTTAAAGGACTACATTTATTTTCATAAAACATAAAAATAATACAATGTTCAGATACTCTACAAAATAAATGTTTTTCATACATGACCATGACATTTTTCCAGCAGGCAAAATAGGACAATTCAAAAGAAGTGAGAGAATATTTAAATATTTACCCCCTCGGTTAAATGAGATTTGATGAGTTCACGTAATAAATGGATTCCCCCCATAGTTGTTTAATTTTTTATAATTTTGCAACAAATGGTGAAAAATTCTATTTAAAAATTAGGCTGCGACTATACGCCCGATCTACGGGTCTGCGGGAAGCTTTTCCGTAGCTGACCCGTGAATCGATTACATTTAGCTCAAGCTTTTAGGTGCATGGGAAAATTTCCCGTACTTCTGTTATGTTTACATTTCCTATAAAAAAATTCTCTGAAACAAATGATGTGATATTTATATTTAATTTGGGGTATTTTTTTTTTATTTTTGAGGTGTCAATGTTGTTGGTAATTTACCGACTTTTAAATTCTCTTTTATTTTGCGTTCATTATTTTTATATGACATTAAATTATGGAACTCCGACACAGAGACTGGCTAAGGAAAGCCTTGCCGTAAGTGACCCCTTGGATTTATTAAATTAAGTTCAAACTTTTAAATCTGTGGTAAAATGTCCCGTACTTCCCTGAATTTTTACATTTACATTTTTGTATTAGACCAGGGTAGAAGCCTTTAAAAATAATAAAAAGTGAAAAAAATAATAATAGTAAGATGCAACCCATTAGAAAAGGAGGGGAATATTATAAAAATGAAAGGAAAAATAATTTACGGGCGATCTGAGGTCAGGAAGGGGATGGGGGTGAGGTTTTAAGGGTAAAAAACGGTTTTTCTCGATTTCCGGCAAAACTAAAAGTCCTATCGAAAAAAGTCAAATGGCAAAGTTGTAGGTAATAAAAAGATCTAAAACTTTTGTATTTACACTTTTTTCACATAACCTCAAAATTTATGTGAAAAATTCAAAAAACCCAAGTTTTTGGTTTTTTATTTTTATCTTTTACAAAAAAAATCCTTTTAACGAAATTTGGTGAAAACTTACTTTTTTATGTCCCAAATACGCTGTAATTTATTTGATTAAAAATATTTATTTTTTCACCTTATTTTGAATTAATATCGAAAAAGCACCCTAATTTTCAATCGAAAATTCACCCGTCAAAATATCAGCTTTTATCAAAAAGTTGGTATGTTTTCTGTTCGTTGAAATCTCTACTTTCCGATGGTGAAAAAAATATATATGTTACCATAGTAAATCTTCTGAGAAAATGCAAAAAAAAAACCTTTTTTATTTCATACACTTGCTTAGCATCTGCCTTATTGCAGATGATACAAACAGATTCATCCATACTGATAATCTGAAAAGACAAAATCGAATTAATAATGCCTTCACTATTTTATCGTGAGTATACCCCCATGAAAAAAAATATTAAAAAAATAAATGTCAAAATGTATAAAAAATATATTATAAATATATTAAAAATCTATAATAAAATATATGAAATATACATAAAAATCGGCCAAAAGTTAGTTATTAAAAATATATTTACTATACATATTTTTTATATATTTATACATTTATTATAGATTTTGATTTATTATTTTATTTTTGATACATTTTGACATTTATTTCTTTAATATTTTTTTTTCATGGGGGTATACTCACGATAAAATAGTGAAGGCATTATTAATTCGATTTTGTCTTTTCAGATTATCAGTATGGATGAATCTGTTTGTATCATCTGCAATAAGGCAGATGATAAGCAAGTGTATGAAATAAAAAAGGTTTTTTGTTTTTTGCATTTTCTCAGAAGATTTACTATGGTAACATAAATATTTTTTTTTCACCATCGGAAAGTAGAGATTTCAACGAACAGAAAACATACCAACTTTTTGATAAAAGCTGATATTTTGACGGGTGAATTTTCGATTGAAAATTAGGGTGCTTTTTCGATATTAATTCAAAATAAGGTGAAAAAATAAATATTTTTAATCAAATAAATTACAGCGTATTTGGGACATAAAAAGGTAAGTTTTCACCAAATTTCGTTAAAAAAAGTTTTTTTTGTAAAAGATAAAAATAAAAAACCAAAAACTTGGTTTTTTGAATTTTTCACATAAATTTTGAGGTTATGTGAAAAAAGTGTAAATACAAAAGTTTTAGATCTTTTTATTACCTACAACTTTGCGGTTTGACTTTTTTCGATAGGACTTTTAGTTATGCCGGAAATCGAGAAAAACCGTTTTTTACCCTTAAAACCTCACCCCCATCCCCTTCCCGACCTCAGATCGCCCGTAAATTATTTTTCCTTTCATTTTTATAATATTCCCCTCCTTTTCTAATGGGTTTCATCCTACTATTATTTTCTTGGTTTTAAAAATTATCGACCCTGGTCTATATAAATAAATTGTCAAAAACAAATTATGTTCTATTTGTTTCGAAATATAATAAAAATAATAGCAAATTCTCTTTTATTTTGAGTTCATCATTTTTTTAAGTTATGGAACTCGGCCACAGGGGCTGGTGACAAATACGTCATACGTGTACGAGACACGGGTACAGGTTACTAATTCAAAAATTATTTGTTTATACAATTTTATGATGAACTAGTGACCCACCCTCGCTTCGCTCGGGTTCGTCCCTACTTACGTTTTAAGGTATCGATTTCTCAGAGATGAGATATTTTCCCGCAGTAAAAAGTATCCTATATGTTGACCCGCATAACCTGTTATCATCATATCAAATTTCATTAAAGTCCCTTCTGTGGTTTTACCGTGATGCGGTAACAGACAGCCAGACAAACACAAAAATTCTAAAATCTATAGATAGAGCCTCTGTATCGATAATAATGTCTATTTCAATAAGATTTTCCAAAAAATATTTAATGTACAGATTCGGCTCAGAATTTTATTATATGTATAGAATATATGATTTTTTATGGTTAAAATTAATAACAATTAAATCGTATTATTAAAATTTAAAAAAATAATGATATTCTTTATGAAATTTACTTCGCTCATGTTATAGTAAAAAGTAAAATAAACTATAATTAAATTGTAAAAAAAATCACTCAGGATTTCCATTCCCGTTATTTGAATTTCTTATTGATTTACTACTTACCTATTAGATTTTACCTATAGATTTTGAAACACACACACATGCACGCGGCAGCTGACGATCATTAATCGCTAACTGTTATAGATTTTTCTAACAGCTACAGGGAAAAATGTGTATCAATTAGTGATTATTTTTCCGTGTAAAATATATAGATATTTACTTATATATAAATATATGACATCATTTTAAAACAAGTTATAATTGATTCAAGCATTTGTTAAAAAAACAATATTCAAAAATCGGACCGAAATGAATTAGATAATTTATTTATTTATTTAATAATTAAACGATTTTGTGAAAAGCAAAAATATGAACCCAAGATATGAAAAAAATCATTCAAAACAGTAAATTATTAATAATATTGACATTTGACACCCCGAACTAAAAAAAGTATAATGATTTTTTTATTTTAATTATTATCAATGTATATGTTACAGTTAAACCCCGTTTTTAGTTAAAACGCGTTTTCTCTGGTTAAAACTGGTTTTTAATAAATGCCTTTGTTACAACTAGAATTTACTAATATTCAAAAAATATTATTTGAGAATGTGTTCTGAACGAAAAAAAAATTGAATAGTTACTTGTTGGGCCTCAGAACTAAGAGAAATGAGCATGGGGGTTCTGGGTTTAAAATAGAAAAAAACCTGACGAGACGGATAAGGCATCTCAACCTTTTTTTTTTTTATCGTCGGGAAATGCATTTACGCATACCACCTGATCCCCCAGGTGGTGATGTGGGGCTCACCGGCTAGAAGAGCCGGTACTACCCACTAAAACCCGACATCCCTTCCCCCCGCCTTAGTGGGACGCCGCAGGATCGCTTGCGCATAACTACTACGGCGCCCCGGCGGCAGGTCTGCCTAAATACTAGGCAGACCACCAAACCAATGGGGCTGCTCCACAGTCAACTCTGCTAC